TTTTAGTCATATTGAGCATGCACTCCACATTAAGGGACCTTTAGTGGCAATTGGAATATTCTTGGAACATAATGTCATGACATAAACTTGCTCCACTATGAGATTATATTTTATCGACGACCCTAAGATCCTACACTGTTTCTAAGTTTCAAGTATAAATTTACACGGCTCTTTAAAATAATTTTGCATCAGAGAATTAAACTCATTAAATTTGCCTCAAGTAAAAGCATTGATTATATATAGTAGATAGTATTTATGAACGCACCTAATACCTAATAAAATGTACAAATAGATCATCAGTAAAAGAGCCGACTTTTAACCTGATTGTCAATAAATAACTGTGGATATCGATACAAAGCACCGCCCACCGAACCTTACCAAGCCTCCTCACGACTTGTCTGAATAAGCCACAAGATTAACGCAACCCACCATTTCAATGTAGGTCTCCTTTCGTTACGCGATAATCCCTTGCCTCAAGTAAATTTAAATAGAATTTGCAACACAGAATATGCACCCATAATACTAATAATTTAGTCTAGATCATTCAAATTCAATATGAAACAAGCAAACCGTCATAAATTGTCATAATAGCCTCTAATGGAAGACGGATTACAATCGGCTCGGGCATTGCTCAAGTGGTGTCTATCTAGGCGACACATCAAAACTCATGTCAGGCCAAGATGAATGATTAAACCTAAATTTGACAAATCTGACTGATTTATTTGAAATGTCGGTCAATGTTGCGCGTGCAACACTGTCGTGTCGTGAGGTCTCCTTTGATAAATAAAAACAAATAAGTGTACATAAAACTGCACTAACACCTGACTAGAATCAGGGCGACTCAACATCGACACTGGAATTATATAAATATTGTAGCGACTTGTCTGACTTATAATGAGGGGGCTGCGGATCTAGTCTGCAACTACGCAATTATTAGCCGCCAGTACCTGCATCGGCAATAACTCTGAATATTATCGTGTTAATAAAGGATATTCTAAACTTGAGTGGATACAACTGGTAGCAATAACTCGTAATCGCCTCGAAAGTGGACAATACTAGATAACGATCTTAGGTACTGACTGGAACGATTACCGAACGATCGCTTTACAAGTTAAACACCTACCTCTGGGTCGTAAATGCCTTTGTAATTATGACTTTATCAGATTCACATTTCTTTGAAGTTCTAATGTTTGTGTTTTTGTCCGCAGATCGTTGTAGCTTGCTTGGCGTTGGCGTGCGGCGCACACGCGTCCGGTTGGGCTGGCCCGCCCGCCAACATCGCGCTGTCGCAGGATGGCCGAAACATCCTCGACACGCCCGAGGTAGCGCAGGCCCGCGCCGCACACATCGCCGCCCTCCAACAGGCCTCACAGAACAACCCTAACCCCCAAGATGACGGATCCTACGATCCCCGTTGGGACAACGAAGAGTACTGGCAACGCGCTGAGCAGCCCAAATGGAACGCTGCGCCCGCTCAGTCATGGAACGGCGCTCCCGCCAACCAGTGGAACGGCGCTCCCGCCAACCAGTGGAACGCCGCCCCCGCCGCACCCGCATGGAACGCCGCCGGCCACGCCCCCGCTCCCGTCGCTGAAACCCCTGAAGTGGCCCAGGCTCGCGCTGCCCACCTCGCCGCCCTGAACGCTGCCAAATCCGCTGCCCCAGCTCAACAACAATGGAACGCGCCCGCTCATCAACAACAATGGAACGCCCCCGCTCAACAGCAATGGAACGCTCCCTCATCCCAATGGAACGGTGCTCCTTCCTGGCAGGGAAACCAGGCTCACCAGCCCGCTAACATCAGGCTAGCGCACGACGGATCCGGTATTCTGGACACACCTGAGGTAGCCGCCGCGCGCGCCGCTCACCTCGCCGCTCACGCGCAAGCTGGACACGGAGCGCCCGCGCACGCGCCCCAGCAACACTGGTGAACCTCCCCTTCCCTTTAGGGCCCGGACGCAGCTCTAAGCCGTAGCCCGCGGTCCGGTAACCGCGCATAGCCATCACGCCCTAGGACTGCGTCCAGGCGTCTTCCCTTCTTTTTTCGATCTCTTCTTCCTCTTGATAGAAATTTTCCAAGTGCAAGTGCGTCAGCCTGTTCTATCTCTGTGGCTTTTTTGTTACTTTTATAAGAAATTTCTATGAAAACGAACATTTTGTAAATAATTAATTATATGTATGCGTAATAAACGAATTATATGGAACGGAAAATTATCTACGTCTTTTACTTGTTTTAGTATCATTAATTTTGAATCCACCATGAATAAGTCCCATATCACATCTTACATGATCGTCAATCTGAGATACGGAATATCAGATCTACAATAGGACCACATGCATCTCTTGCCTCTGGGCACATAAACGAAAATCGGTCGACATTCGTTAGATTGCTATTCGTATTTGCTATTTGTCATTTTGACAGCAGGTTCTGCTTCGTACTTTTCATATTCTGAAAAAAGAGGTTGTTGTCAAGTTTACAAATAGCAAATACGAACAGTCATATGAAGTGCCGTCCCTCGGTTTTGCTTGGAGACTATTTGCGCTAGAGATCTGTAATTTTGTGGACATATGTATATCTATCATCATCATATCGATAAAATTTTGAAATTTTTTTTTTTAGGGTAGGTCTCCTACATGTTACCTGGGGTGTTTTTTTTTCATCATCTACTCCACCGTGTGGGATATTGTTGAATAGGTCCTTTAAAATTACTTAGGGGTCCCTACATAGACTATTTTTCGATTTAGGGATTCGTTTGCGAAATATTGAACTTTAAAGTGCAAATTTAGGTCTCTAAAAACTATTGGCTTGAAAAACCTGAAAAAATCATAATAATAGTGCTTTTTATGAACTTTTAAGGAAAACTATAACGGTTAAGATCGATTAGTTAGTTTAAGAGCAATAGTCGTTCAACTTGTTTTTCTAATTTCCGATATAGAAAATAAAGACTTGCTCAGATATATTATAGTATAAATACAGGCAACTACGGAACCCTACACTGCGCGTATCCCGAAAGGCACTTGGCCGGTTTTTTATTTTTGTAGTTACTAGTCTACTAAATTAATATTAAATGTGAACAAAACAATATATCATTTCTCATAATATAATGTATTACTTCTTAGTAGGAGTATATATCTGCATCTGCTAGGTACTAAAAAAGACTAAACTTTATATTTATACTTAGTATTAGGAACTCAATGAGGAACCCATTTAGTTACATTATGTCCATCCGTCCTTCCATGCGTCCACATTATACATATAAACTTTTCGTGAAATAATCTCTAATTGGCTAAAAGGCACATGAAAAGCAGTATTTATTTTTGTATTTTTTTGAGATTTCATCCCCAACATACATAAAAACAATATACAAGTGTAATTTATTTTAAGTATAACTAAAGTTACGTTTGACTTTAGTTATACTTAATATTTTAATGGAATTCTTAACCCGCGCAAATGTTCCCTCCTTTCTTTAATCTGGGGTCCTTAAGAGCATTTTTGCAGGCCGGCAAGGTAAGGATGATTGGTGTAGCAGTTTATAACTACTGTACCAGCTATCTTCGTGTTTGGACCTTATTAGCACTTAACATCAGGTGGGGTAGAGTCATTTGCCTACCTCTATATAAAAAAGTAGGGTGACGTCATGAATCATCTCATATTTAAGTCATTGGCAACTCTATTTTTAATAATACAGACAAAAAAACAACTCTTGCCGAGTTTCTTGCCGGTTCTTCTCCAATAAAAGGTCTCCTACCGTAGATTTACGAACCGATGTCATAGCTTCTAGACATTCATGAGTGCTTGTAACAGTCTAAACTGAATAAACAATTTTTGATTTGATTTGATCGAAAGGGCAATCTGTTTTATATTCTGTAAGGATCTGCTTCTGCACCACAAATCGTGTTCTGCAATATTGTTTTCTTTGTCATGATGTTAATTAACGGCACTGTTCTTTACAACATCATAAAATATTTGATCATTCTGTTTTGAATAGATGTTAGCTCTCCTTCCATCTTTTCTTCAGCATAACTTAATTTTTGTAGTGAGCTCTCTTTGTTATATACATATATCTTTACCAATCCCTTCTTATTTTAGTGCGACACAAAGCATTTAAAATATTCTATCATAAAATGTCTGTCAGAAAGTAGGTCTTTGCCGTTCATAGTTGCAAATTGCAATAGGTACACTAATCACATCAGACAATCATGGAAACAAATATGTACAATGTTGTTGTCAATTCGAAACGCGATTACATTGTGCCACCCGTGTAGGGGTCGGTAGGGAATGGTTTCACAACTAAAATATTAGCGCTGAACGAGACTGTCAATTATAACAGTGCGTGATTTCCGCATTAGTCCAATTAACGGTGTTGTGCATGTCTGATAGTTATAATTACAATTTAGTTAGTTGCACCGAGCCGAACGTGGCGTGACAAAGCACCAGCTCCATTACTGCACTGATCTCTAAAAAGATACGCTAGTTTAGAGTAACGTTCACTGTAATTTTCTTTTTCAGTAGATATTTTTATGTGCCAATTGTTACATGCATATGTATATGTTCGAAAAAGTTTATTTTCAAGTAATATGTTTATTGATTAAACTGTCCAAAACATTACCTAAAAACAACCGAAATCCAACAGAAAGTAATATTTTATTTATAAATAACTTTACAAAGTAACTGTATCAAACTGCTATCAGAAGCAATCCAATTGAGTGGAATTACACTCGGTGTGAAATTAACGGTTCTGCGTAGATTTACGATCGGAACTGGTACATAATTACGTTGATAGGGGTAAAGGGGCAAGTTACTCGAAAATGTGTAATTCCGATATCGAAAGCTAACAGAGGCGGTGCAGGGACAATTCGTCATTCGACCAGCGCAATCAAAAGATAGATTACATCGAAACTAAGTATCAAACTTTCAAGTGTATTCGCCGAACAGATATTATCATTGGTTGGAAGCGTGAGGAGCTGTACATGTACAAAATTTTGTAGAAATACCAACGATGGTAAAGCCGCGCAAAGATTTCGTCGTGCGACCACGACAATCTTCAAATGAACAAATAAAGGTGCTTGTTTTCTATATTTTCTATTGTACTAACTGTAAAACACCCCTTTTTCATCATAAAAATATGTTATTATAAATACGCTTTATAACTTTAAATCTAGATAATGGAATAAATAGTAGAATACTAACTAGTCACAGTATTTTGCTTTTAGCAAAACATTTGGGTAAATGATGCTCAACAAGAGCTAACACCATGGTACATATGGGACTCTAAAATTCCTTTAAGCAGTAACAAAAAAAAGGTAAGAAAAATTCACTGCGTATTACTGAACAGAGAATTGTTTGAACACGCTTCCAGACTATATTTTTTTAATCTTTTATTAGGTAAAACCGGGACGATTGACCCAACTGACTAACAGTGAAACAGCCAGAACATTCAACAAAGACCTTAGGGAATATCTTCTCAGCTCGACCCTGCACGGACTTCGTTACATTGGCGAAAAGAAGCTTACATGGTTTGAAAGGTAATTTACTTACACATAACTCTTGTTAATGATAGGCCAAAGTTTCAACAGCAACAAAAGAAACTGTGGGCATAGTGCATTATAAATATAAATGTAAGAACATAAAATGTAGTAAGTATGAGGAAGCTATAAAGTACTAAAATAAGTAGTAGATAACAGACAATAAAAAAAGCAGGTGGTATCCAGCTTTAGGAAATAATCCTTAATTTTACCAACAAAAGAGTCCCTTGACTGGGCACGTTTGATATCATTCTGAGATATAGAAATCTATCTGTGCAGTCTCTGACTACGCTAAAAATCATCTGTGCCAGGTTACTCCATCTGTTCTTCCACTGTAATAACTAAATATATCATTTCTTGATCCTGATAAATAAAAAAAACGCTAAAGAGATTATAAGCTACAGCTCACCTGATCCATGTTAACCGAAATATGTAGAAGATACGAATCATTGATATGATTCGAAACTTCGATATCACAAAATTTCCTGCAATAGAATGCTAACATAAAGAAATAGGTTTAAGGGCCCAAGGGCCTACTCCAAAAGGTAAATCATCATCATTATTAGCCTGTTGATGTCCCCACTGCTGGGGCACAGGCATTCCCTATGGATGGAATAGGGAGATTGGGCCATGACCCACCACGCTAGCCCAGTGCGGATTGGTGGGTGCAGATGCAGCCGGGACCAACAGCTTAACGTGCCTTCCGAAGCACGGAAGAGCAAGAGACAGTAAATTTTTGGTCACCCATCCAAAGACCGACCACTGCGAAAGTTGCTTAACTTTAACGATCGCAGCCGAACGCGCTAACCACTTGCGCCATCGATCTGCTAAAAGAGAAATAAATTAATTAAAAAGAATGGACAAGTGGGAATCGGACTCGCTCATCGAGACTTCCGTAAAAAATTGTAGGTACTCAACATAACATCTCCTTTTTACGTTAACTTAGAAGTTTGATTTTTTCACAATGTTCTTTTTTGAAATTCATAAAAATACTGTTTTGCATTCCAACATAACAGTTATTATGTGTGTGTGAAACACACAGCGTGGTTGAAGAAGAAGCGCGCAAATTCTCCGGGATATACAAATATATAAAGGGACTTACGTGTATGTCTTCAGTCTTCACAATTGCCACAAAAAGGCACAAATAATAAATCATTCTTTACTAAAAATCCATTGTCCAGTAGCAATTTTGCCACAAGAGCTTAGAATATCAGTTGTTAACAATTGCTGTTTTCACTTGATACTGAACACAGACACAAAATGTATTCTGATGAATATATTATATATGATTTGAATCAATAAAAAAATCAGTTTTAGGAAAATATTGGAACTGTATCATTCGGTCGTCGTTAAGCAATTAGTCAACTTTTAATGTTTTCTTCTAAGGAGTAGTAAGTAACAAATCCATCTTAACCGTTATATTTTTTCTTAAAAGTTCATATAAAGGACTATCATCATGATTTTTTCCAGTTTTTTCAAGCCAATAGTTTAGCTATTAGAGGGGAGGACGCCCTACACGAACAATAATTAGCACTTTGAAGTTCCATATTTCGCATATGGATCCCTAAATCGAAAAATAGTCTTAGGAAGTAATTTTAAAGGACCTTTTAAACGATATCCCACACGATGGGGTAGACGATGAAAAAATAAAATCATGATTTTATTTTTTCACACCGTACCGTAACAAAAATTTTCTAAATGTTATTCTACCGTTTTGTCGGCATGATTGATATACATATCTCGACAAAATTCCAGCTCTGTATTGCTAACAGTCTCCAAGCAAACTGGGGACGGACAGACGGATACGACGAAACTATAAGGGTTCCTTGTACTACGGAACCCTAAAAAATGCATAAATATAACCTAAATCGTTGCCTGAATTAGCTAGTAAAGTTTCTCAGGTAACTCAAATGGTGTTATTATATTATTGGCTGTCTATTTATCTCGGGAACACATGGAGGCATCGAGTTCCAATTTAAACCGAATACTTAACTGTACTGACCCTTAAAAATCAAACGTTAAGTTAACGCAAAAAAAAGGTCTGGCCATTTATGTTGCGCTACTTTGTATGGGACCCTCGGTGTTTTTTTTTCTTCTTTTACTACCTATTGCGCTTGAAGTATTCTACTTTAAGATCAAAGTCAGCCTCCCAATAATAAATATAATCGCCATTGTTTTATCATGGTTCGGAACACCAAATCTGAACCATGATAAAACTATGGCGATTTGCTTGTGAATTCATAGAAAAACCGGACCGATTCAATTGTTGTTAAGTTGGGTAATAATAAAGCCACAACACCGACAGATTCTTCTGGCTAGCGGCGTTCCTGTTTTCCCTGATGTGCGCCGGGTTCTTCATACTAAATGTGTATGCCAAGTGGCGGATGACGCCGATGATCGTGAGCATCAACCCGGAGAACATGCCGCTGGAGAACTTGCCCTTCCCTGCCATCACCATTTGCAACGTAAACCAGGCCAAAAAATCTGTGGCGGAACGGTACCTGATTCAAGGGTTTGTTATAGTACATAGATAATGCCGTCATGCGATATCATAGAACACTAAATTATTTTAAGCATAATGGCCACGCGCAGACGAGGGCCTTTTATGCCAGCCAAAATTGATCGCTTATAACTGCATCGAGTAACGCTCACAAGGACTTAAAACTCCCGCGTGCAAAACTTCCCCCGAACAACCGAGGACGACGCAAGACCGAACAGGACAAAAGAACTCAATAGAACTCATGTGACAAGGTGCAGCAACGCACACAGCGAACTTTAGTCCGCGTTGCGCGCTCGATCCGATTTAAAATGATCGGCCCAGTGTTCTCCTTGAAAACATCTTTTTTTTTTCTTAAACTTCATGCTCATTACAACACAACGTAATCTGAGAATATTTACTTCCGTAGAGTGCGCTTCTTTAAATTTTCGGGCAACAATGTTCGCACACCTCGGCGTTGAGTACATGACAAATCCTCGGCGGACATTTGTTTCAGGATTCAGGGGCTTTTTTCCTCCGCGGACAAATGCCGCTTGTCTGCGCGGGCCATTCAACTGCTAGATTAATAAATCTAAAGAAAACTTTACAATAAAATAAAAACACTCGATCTAGGAATCATCAGACATGGTTCGAATCTGCACCTTTCGCTTTCTTTCGCCGAATAGCGGAAAATTTGATGGAAATTTAAGTATTATAATATTTAATTGATTTATAATACTACACTTGGCTACGCACAATCATTTGTCCATTGTAAATAATGAATTGACCCTTCAAAAAACATTTAGATCATCCAAGGAGCTTTTATTCTTTTAAGATAAAAACCCGCGCACTTGGCCATATTGTTTTACTAAAACAATATGCCATATTATTTTACTTTCGGTGTTAAATTTAAACGGAAATGGTTTACTTGATAGCTAAATTACATAGCTTGTAAATATCTAAATTAATCAGAATACGACACTATTATTATACAAACAGACAGTAATGTGTGTCATCATAAAATATACCTAACCAGAACTTATAAGTTCTTTTAAAGAACATTAAATTGTTTGAATGCTGAATTGTTCGAGATTGTACTATTGTATTAAAACTATACTAACATGAAAATGTAAAGGAAAGCGGACAAAAATGTATAGAACCAATCACAACATGCGACATATCATTGGATACATTTTTTTATGTACTTTAACTATTGTTATGGCGGAAACTCCGAAGGTGATGTGTGAAAAAAGTTATGACGCAATAAAGCCAGACTTCATTCGCATAAGTATGTGTTTATTTTTATTTTAATCATCAATGAATTTTAGTTTATTTTATAAAACTAACAAAGTGAAGTACAAAATGCGAAATGTACCCGCACACTAAGGGCTCTGTACATATACACTCCCGCACTCTTGAATCGAGCTACCTTACATTCCCGGGCCTAAAAGCCCAGTACACAAAAAATATTATACAATACTAGCTGACCCAGCGAACTTCGTACCGCCCTAAAAAAATAGGGGTTGTCCAGCGGACAAAATTGTGAATCTAAACCATTCTCAGATCCCCTTGAACACACACAAAAAATTTCATCAAAATCGGTCCAGTCGTTTAAGAGAAGTTCAGTGACATACACACTCACAGAAGAATTATATATATAAAGATAACAAAAAAGTTTTAATGCATTTTTAATGCTGGCATATTTCATCGTCTTTCCCATATGTATTATTCCAAATTTGAATTTTAGAATTTAAAATAAAGAACAAAAGCCGAGCTTGGTCACTGATTTAAAAAAAATAAAGACTGTTGAAAGTTGCTTTTGAAGCAATTTAATGTCGATTTGGTTTGAATTTTCGCAATTGTTGTATACCAAAGTTTAGTTTAGTTATTTTTCTATAATTTTAACCGGTTTTGGCTATAAAATTATGGATACTTCACCTGAAGTAGCCTCGCAAGCTGTAGCACTTCTTCAATCTGGGTTAAGTCAGCGAGATGTAAATTCACAACTTCACTTAAGTCGTTCCGCTGTTCAAAGAGTGTACCACCGATACCTGGAGACTGGCGGCTTCGTTCGGCGAACAGGAGGACCTCGTTACCGAGTGACAACGGCGAGACAAGATCAATACATTATCACTACTAACTTACGAAATCGACGCCTTAACTCTGTTCAGATGCAAGAACAGCTCAGGGACTTTCTCGGAGTGGCTGTAAGTGCTCGGACCGTTAGAAGGCGACTCAATGAACGTGGTTTAAAGCCCCATAAGCCAGCCAATGGACCCAAATTGACACGAGCACACCGAATAGCCCGTCTAGAGTTTGCGCGTGGACATCTAAATTGGACTCGACATCAATGGAGCCAGGTTCTCTTCACAGATGAGTCCAAGATAATGCTATACGGTAATGACGGAAGGAGTAAAGTGTACCGAATACAGAACGAGCGTTTCGCGCAATGCTGTATTGACGAGAGAGTGAGTTATGGTGGAGGATCATGGACAGTCTGGGGAGGAATCTCGATGGAAGGCAAAACCGGGACCACGACCACGACTGCCGCCCCTAGATGGCAATAGATACATTCGCCAATGTTTAGAGAACCACGTGATGCCATATGCTGGATTTATTGGCCAAGATTTCGTTTTAATGCATGATAATGCAAGGGCCCATACTGCGGGAATTGTCAGGGAGTACTTAAATGACATTGGTATCACTGTTATGAGATGGCCAGCGCGAAGTCCTGATATGAATCCTATAGAGCATCTATGGGTTGAGCTGAAGAGGCGTGTTCGAGCTCATCATCCTGCCCCGCAAACCATGCAGGAGCTCAAAAATGTAATTTTGGAAGAATGGGAGGACATTCCTCAACATGTCATAACAACATTGATTAATTCTATACCAAACCGTATGAGAGCTGTCATAAATGCACTGGGGGGCAATACAAATTACTAAATAAACATTTCTTTTCATGTAAAACATGTCTTTATTTAAAAATCGATTAGATTTTTTTCCTTGAAAAAAGCAAATATGTACTTTTTTCAAAGTAACTCGACTTTTTTAATAAACTGTAGTTCAAATTTAGAACAGTGGCACTCTAAATGAATGATGAGTATACCAGCTCCAAAACTGTATCAAAACATTTTCCTTCTACATACATATTTTATAATTTACAGTACTCCAAACCAAAAAAATCAAGGTGGCTCGATTTAGGTGTCCGGGAGTGTATATTCTTTAACACCTACTGCTTTTACGTGCTATCGGTCGAATCTTACAGCACTAGTTGCATAAGATAGCGATACATGTCAAATCTATATCATTATTATCAATCTATATCTGTTACATCATTAAAAGGCTAAAAGGTTGAAAAACAATAATGAGTAAATAAATAAAAGGCTTATGGCTTCCTACACCTAGATATCACCTAATAGAAATTATATGCGCACAATCTTCCAGCGCCCTGTCGAACAAGTACAATATAATGTCAATTACATCACTGCTAACCAAAATGTAAGATAAATATTTTCTTGTCCTTACATGGCGAGACGAGGCATATTGTGCCAATGCAAATCTCCTATTAAATCATCTCATTTCACTTTACATGCTATTTTGCAAATAAATGCGCCATATAATTTGGCTAGTTTAAGCTGATATGATCAAAAAGTCTGTCTCTGTCTGACTTTATTGAGTCATAACTGTTTTTATACAGCGATTTGGGAGACTCCGCCAATTAAAGTACATAAAAACCCCTATCTAATGATATATAGCATGTTCTTATTGGTTCCTAGGCAAAAACGTTCGGCCTTCTTTATTCTGCAGTACGAATAATGGCCACGTCAAGCAAATTCTTTGTTTTCAGATCATCATTGAACAAGAAATTGCTGGAAAGTCTATGCTCAACAGAAAACGACGCTGACATTTTCGAAAACGAATTGGCGGACACCGCTGACTGGGACTACATGCGATCATTTCTAATTAATGTTAGTTCAAAATTTTACTTAATACACGCCCAATTAATTTAAAAACAACAACAAGTATTGATAACATTATTTTTATTCCGATTCTTCACTTATTCCTACAATACCACGAAGTCGATGAGTATAGCCACAGATTGTTATTAGCGTACACAGTATAATTACTACCGAATTCCAAATAATATAAACCTAATAGAAATAATACCAGTACGGCTAACGTTTTCGATCTCAGATAGGGAAACTTAAGCAATATTCGCATGGTTTTAGAAGAGCGTATTCTTTTCTTTAGATTATGGCTGGATCTGCAGTCTGCAGAAGTTACCTACCAAGTCCATAACAAACCGAACAACTCACGCGTGATGGACTATGGTCCGAATGCTTAATATCTAACTTGGAACCGATTTGCAGTCGACAGCAGAATAGTTTAATACAAAAAACCGAGTCAGCATCTCAGTTGCATTGTGATCAATGTAATAGGGTTCTCGGTTCTAATAAATTGGTTCTGTCTGTCTATAGGGTAGGTCTGTATCACAATAGTAGCGATGATGATGATTGCAGGTAACGCAGCCATGTAGCGAGATGCTAGCAAGTTGTTCGTGGAACTCTATTAACAGGAGTTGTGTGGACCTGTTCAACGCTCAGCTCACAGACGAGGGCCTATGCTGCACCTTCAACGTGGTGCATCGGGAGAAAATGTTCCGGAACCCGTAAGTACTGCAACCTGTTATAAATACTCTAGAAGGATAGTGACTTTTACCCGAAATATCGCGCGCAGAGTATCCTCTTGCACCTTGGAAGATTGCAACCAAAAAACATTGTATCTGCATTAAATATTCTGATGCTTCTGACAGAATTATGTTCAGGGGCGAATTCACCCAAGGGCTAAGAGAGTCATGACTACTCATGCATGCTTCGAAAGGCGGCTGAAAGAACTGCGAAGGGAGGTAGAAACCATATAAATTCGTTACTGACCTCTATTTTGATTCGATTCACTAATTATAGGGTGAGAAATCGTAAGTGGCCCGGGGCGCCAGATTTTAATAAGGTAAGGTTAGACTCTTGTCTGCAAGACAGCAACGCTACCTTTGTTCGCCATTCGCCACGAAAATTTTATCAACATAATTTTTTATTCCGAGTTGTACCGTGGGTTCAAAATAAAGTTGAGTTTGAAATTACGGGAGCTTTGAGATATGATGGAGTAGAGGCGCTACTGCGAGATTATCGAGACGAACATCGTGGTCTGGATCTCACTTCTTTCCGTAATAGTCCAGGCAACGAAAAGGTATAGAGGGAATTGCTTAGAACACAATTTTTGACTTCGTGACTTTGTTAGGACTAGTTAGGAGGTAAACATATCAAAAGTCCCCGCCCGTAGCCCTTAAGCCGGGGGGAGGGGGGGGGGCTTGAAGGTCCCATTTTTAGGTTTTTCGCATATATCTCGAAAACTATGCATCCTAGCGACATGAGACTTTCACAAAAGTGAAAGCTGATTAAATTTGCTACAAGTCCTATTGAGTCAATTTTTTTGATATCTTGTATAGTTTTCGAGATATCCGCTCTTGAAAGTCTGTAATTATGGAAAAAAAAATTGTTCCCATTTTTGCTCTATTTGACCGGATAACTCTTCAACAATGCACCCAAAAAATAAATGCCGGCCGTAGGGTTGTAGAGCATTAAATTATCTTCAATAATAGAAACAATTGCCTTTTTTTTTTATTTAAGGACAAAATTGTTAGTGTAGTAGACGTATGGGGGCGGTACGGTGGGCACTAGGCCGCGTACTCAGCCCCCACGCGCGGGCCGTCCTGCGCACGTCTGTGGGGTCCTCGCGATACCCCGGGAGACCCCTGCCGCGGAACCTCGGCAAGGCCGGGAGGCTGCTAGGTAGACGCGGAAGAATCCCTAAACGGGGATTCCGCGGCTTCGCACTAAGCAGCTTAGAGGGTGTTCGCAGGGTTTTTTAGCGGATATTATGCCGTATAGCGCCCGTAAGGGTTACGGGGTCCTCAGTGGGCAGCCACTGCTGGGGCTCGTAAGGCTTGCGGGAGCCAGGTGTGAGGTCCATAAGTAAAAAAGAAAGTAAATTAGTGTCATTGAGAAACTGTAAATATCTAATAATAATATCTGTAATAATGATATCCGCTCTTGAAAAAAAAATGCTTTACATTTATGCTCTATTTGACCGGATAACTCTCGGATAACTCTTTAACGATGCACCGATGTCTAAATAGCACACATGCTCATTTTAGAATATGTACTTGTTGGCCCACTGACCAGGTTCTTCACACAATCCAGAAAATAAGTTTAAAAAAACTGCAAGAGTTAACTACTTTATGCAAAAAAGGTTATTATGAATTAGATGATTATTTAAATGATAAGATTGTCTGGTGTTGTATTGGTCCAGCTCAATACAAAAAGTAGTATTAAGAATGATTAAAATTATAAAACTGGACTTTAAAAAAAATTGAGACGGTAGGGCCCTGTGCCTCTGGTTTTTTTCCGGTTCTCATTGGCTATACAGGTACGAATACGGCAGCAGTTTTCGATACAATTCACTATGACGTGCAAAAAGACATTTGTAAAAAAATCCAATATAGTTAATTTCTTGCTCTTTTGGGGTGGGAAGGACCTTGATCCTCGTCTTCGTTTACATTTTCTTTGTCTGTGTCATTTTCTCCATCGGAACCCTGTAGGGAAACGGTCAGAGGATCCTCCTGTTCTTCTTCACCTTCGGAGTCAACTTGTGGGACCCCATTCAAGCAGTTCCCCTGGCAATTTTGGCACGCTGGGGAACAGGAACGCAGGACACCCCCTTTAGTCAATACGTCTACTACCCTTTTTTTTATACGCAGGCAAAAAATACTATTTACAGACGACGGCGCCTTTAAGAGGCACACCGCCGAACGGACCTCACACCTGGCTCCCGCAAGCCTTACGAGCCCCAGCAGTGGCTGCCCACTGAGGACTCCGTAACCCTTACGGGCGCTATACGGCATAATATCCGCTAAAAAACCCTGCGAACACCCTCTAAGCTGCTTAGTGCGAAGCCGCGGAATCCCCGTTTAGGGATTCTTCCGCGTCTCCGCACCTAGCAGCCTCCCGGCCTTGCCGAGGTTCCGCGGCAGGGGTCTCCCGGGGTATCGCGAGGACCCCACAGACGTGCGCAGGACGGCCCGCGCGTGGGGGCTGAGTACGCGGTCTAGTGCCCACCGTACCGCCCCCATACGTCTACTACACTAACAATTTTGTCCTTATACTATTTACAGACGACGGCGCCTTTAAGAGGCACACCGCCGAACGGACCTCACACCTGGCTCCCGCAAGCCTTACGAGCCCCAGCAGTGGCTGCCCACTGAGGACCCCGTAACCCTTACGGGCGCTATACGGCATAATATCCGCTAAAAAACCCTGCGAACACCCTCTAAGCTGCTTAGTGCGAAGCCGCGGAATCCCCGTTTAGGGATTCTTCCGCGTCTCCGCACCTAGCAGCCTCCCGGCCTTGCCGAGGTTCCGCGGCAGGGGTCTCCCGGGGTATCGCGAGGACCCCACAGACGTGCGCAGGACGGCCCGCGCGTGGGGGCTGAGTACGCGGTCTAGTGCCCACCGTACCGCCCCCATACGTCTACTACACTAACAATTTTGTCCTTAAATAAAAAAAAAAGGCAATTGTTTCTATTATTGAAGATAATTTAATGCTCTACAACCCTACGGCCGGCATTTATTTTTTGGGTGCATTGTTGAAGAGTTATCCGGTCAAATAGAGCAAAAAAGGGAACAATTTTTTTTTCCATAATTACAGACTTTCAAGAGCGGATATCTCGAAAACTATACAAGATATCAAAAAATTTGACTGAATAAGACTTGTAGCAAATTTAATCAGCTTTCACTTTTGTGAAAGTCTCATGTCGCTAGGATGCATAGTTTTCGAGATATATGCGAAAAACCTAAAAATGGGACCTTCAAGCCCCCCCCCCCCCCCCCCTCCCCCCGGCTTAAGGGCTACGGGCGGGGACTTTTGATATGTTTACCTCCTAACTAGTCCTAACAAAGTCACGAAGTCAAAAATTGTGTTCTAAGCAATTCCCTCTATACCTGTTTTTGAGCATTCGTTGCCTGGACTATAATCCATGTGCCATTTAAAAAGTTTGTATTTATTTAGTACCGTTTGTACTCTCATTTCAAAAAAAAAAACTCAGTGTATTGGAAGATATTTTAAAATTAAAATATACTGTAAAGTGTTAGCTCAACCTATGGATCTTATACTCACTTATAACTGTTTTGCAGTGCCATCCTATGAAGGTGAGATAACCACTTTTAGAAAACACTCACTATGGCTGCTCTATTATGAAAATGGAATCCAGTGCAGTCGTTCTCATCTCAGGAGGACCTTCATAAAGAAGCTTTACATATTTACCTCATTTTTAATACAAACCTATCTAATTATTTACCCTTATTTTTCAGAAAATCTCTAAACGATTTGAATCTGACTTTCCCACTACCAGCAGTGGATTGGACTCCTGAGGATGGTTATCCGCCAGACGCCCCAGCTAATGGTTTTCCATGGAGACCAAAAGGTACACAATTTGAATTTTTATTTACACAATTTATAGTGAAAATGTTTTAGGGTTCCGTGCCTTTGAAAATAAAGTACGTTCGGCGAAATGGAACCCTTAAATACAGGACACAGAAGAATCACATTGTTTTCCGTCCGTCAGTCTTTCCGTCCACCAATACCCGTTTTCCCGGGAACTCCATTTAAGTAACCTGACTTTTTGAGCTATTTACTTGACCACAAGAATGGCTGTTTCTGATGTTAACCTTGTACACTAAACCTATTATGTACAATTCCGATACGCGCTTAAACGTTTTCCTTCATTATTATTAGTTTTAAATGCTTTTTCGCGTTTAATAAAAACTAGCGGCCGTGTTAACTTTAGTTCTTGAAAATTCCTCAGGAACCTAACAATTTTCCTGGATAAAAAGTATCCTATGTCTAATTCCAGATCATAAACTATATGCCTAACAAAATTTCATCCAACTCCGTTCAGAAGTTTTTGCGTGATTGAGTAAGAAACAAACTAACAAACACAAACTATGACAGATATAACATTAAGTGTGATTATGTGTTTTTAATTATTAAACGTGTTGTTTAATACTATCTGTAATAATTGCCTAAAAATTACAAAAGGTAGTAAAAATCTTTAACTTCTTTTTTTGAAGGTATTGGTACTAACCATGGCCTAACACTAATACTGGACGCAAACATCGCAGAATATTACTGTGCTTCTACGAAAAGCGCTGGTTTTAAGGTAATATATCTGTACGATATTTTGGTGATTGACTATATAGGTAAAAGTTTGTGTAAAGAAGGTTAGTCACACTGCGACCTAGACAACCTGAGATCAACCCAACTTCTCTATAGAGAACTTCACGTGACAAACTAGCCCGTCCGAGAGTCCGAGAGGTACGGATTGGTCCCAAGCGCAATAGAAAAACCAAATTGGGGGCAAATGCCTCCGCGTTCCCCTGATCAAATGCTAAACAAGACTTTAAAAATTTGCTTAGGACCTACATAATTTCATCAAGATCAAAACACTACTTACAGTAATCTGGACTTTTTACGCGGTACTAATATTTTTTTAACTTTGCTGAATACGCTGTCCAAAGCTGTTGGAATTCCCGTCTTTGTAACATTTACATTCACTACATTCTATTTGTCTAACAATATTTGCGGTCTCCAAAAATTACTCTGGATAAAGGACTCATCAAACTAAACGCCTTGAATAAGTATTTAGGTGGTTCATCAACATCAAGAAACCAGGAAAAGTTAAGGTAAAAAGAACGATGCCGGGTGAATCAGCTCATGATGCTGGATTATCAATTCAAGAAGAAATATGCATTATACAAGAACGCTTTATACAAGAATTTTCAAATTGGGCTATTGAACAAATCAAAAATATTTTCCAAATTATTGAAACAAAGTTTATGCTGGAAGCTTCAGATGACGCTCTGGCTGTAGCAGTTGACAATCTAATACAAAGTTATGGTGAATTTGACAAGACTGGTTTTAAAAAAATAAACATAAGAATCTGCATTTTTTTTAAAGCTGGGGGCCTCATTCAGCTTTGCCGGCCCGGGCCCCTGACGGGCTTAATCCGCCACTGGGTATTGCTCAAGAAGTTTGGCGCCCCTATACCAATAAAAATTATAAATTCAAATTAGTCAATGCAGCAGCACCTAAACTTAAGATCAACCTATTTCATACTTTATTATGGTTTTTTGTGACTGTTCCCAAAAAAAATATGACTAAGTTTTCAGTAAAGTTGTATATAAGCAGCTCGATAGCGCAGGCACGGTAATAATATCATCCAGTATTCTATCTTCATACAAACGGTCGGAAAGCGAGTCATACCTACGCCACTCGAGTTCGATGTGCTCTCGGCGTGCACCCAGTTGCGAATGCGCCGCCGCGCCGCAACGACGACCGAACGGTTTGAATTGTTTTTTATGCAGTTAGCCGTGCTTAAACATGCGTTTTGTATTGTAAATATTTGATTTAATTAAGTAGATACCTACGTAATTTAGTATGGAAAAGAACAAACGACGATCAATATCGTACAACAGCACAATTGCTCTTTTTGGTTGCTTGAACTCTTCAATAACACACCCAGAGATATCATTTTTTAAATTACCTGAAATATTGGAAAGGTGTCTTACCTTTATAGAATATTTTTTATATACCTATCTACTAGTACGTTATTTGTTTCTAATATTTAGGTATTTCGGTTTTTCCATCGAGCAAAATATCTGGAATAATATATAAATAAGTGGTTAGGATGAAAAAAGAGACAAACGAGTAATCTACCTACACTCGCGTTAAAAACAAAACTACATAAAATACTGTAGGCTGGCGGCCCTACCACGTGCCAACGCAGCGTTCGGTGTAGGCATTTATTTTCAAGGACAGGGCGGAGTCACAATACTGTATAGATAATATTACCGTGGCGCAGGTGTTTAACACGTTCGGCCTGCGGCCGTGAAAACTAAGCAACTTTCGCAATGGTCGTTAATTGGATGTGTGAGCAAAAACATATTTTTTTTAGCTCCTCCGTACTTCAGAAGTCACGTTAAGCCGTTGGTCCCGGCTGCATCTGCAGTCGTTAGCATCCACCAATCTGCACTGGGTCCGCCTGGTGTGTTACGACTTTGTGATGATGATTAGGGTGATGATGATTATTATAATTATGCATCTAGATCCTTCTGCACAATCCTACGGAGACTCCGAAGATAGCCAACCTGGGCGATATATATGGGCCCGGCATGGAGGCACGCGTCTCCATACAACCGCGTATTTTGGACGCGCAACCCGACCTACGAACCATAGATATCGACAAGAGACTATGCCTTTTCTCCAGCGAGACGAATTTGGTTTTCTACAGGTTAGTAGATACGCTTCACAGTTTTGTAATTTCGAGGCGCAAGCGAGGAGGAGGAACTCGATGGCGCAAGTGGTTAGCGTGTTCTGCTGCGATCGTTGAAGTTAAGCAACTTTCGCAGTGGTTGGTCATTGGATGGATGACCAAAAATTTACTATCTCGAGCTCTCCGTGCTTTCGAAGGCACGTCTAGCCATTGGTTCCGGTTGCATATGCCGTCTCCCTATTCCATCCATATACTCGTAGAAGGCCTATGCCCCAGCAGTGGTCACATTTTACGATTTCACTCCTGAAAAACTTCAACAATCATAGAAAAACAACACTATAAAATTTCGCATCTGTATAACGGACACTCCAAAACTGTTTTTTTTTTTCTGCACCAATAGACTTTAATATAATATTTCCAGAAAATAAACTCTTTTGCAATAAAACGGGCACTTTTTTCTTTACTTTAATGAATTAATTTGACGATATGCTGCCATGATTCTTTGCGTTCCAAATTTACATTTTGAAATCTAACAAAAGAAAAATAAAGATTTTGTGGATTATTGTAATGGTGCTTCCACACGCTTGGTGTTTGTTACAAACGCCAAACACGTCAAACAAAATGCCAAACGGCGATCACAATCACCCAACACACACAGGCCTCCTCACGCTTAGCACAGCGGTGACACTCTGTGTACGTGAGAGTTCCAGCGTCAGTGACCTTGAGCAGGAGCGTGTATGCGCTAGGGTTGAACTTGGAATTTAGATTTGTGCCAATGAATATTTATGCATAGTAAGTTATTAAATGTAAACTGATTCAAGGATACTGGGGTAAATATTGAAGGATAGGTTTGATTTTATAATCAATTTTTAATCTTTTAATGTAGGTACTATAACGAATTGATAGTTTTTATATATTTTCTCCTTTTTCGATTCGTTTTATAATTCTTATTATTATCTAAATAATAATAAGATTGCGTAGCGTAGTCAGTCTGTGCGTGCAATGCAGTGCAACGCTATTATTTTACTATTTCGCTACTGCCATCCCTTCGGTCGAGGCAGTCGGCGACTGCCCTCTCCACGCCCCGCGCGCCGCGCAACGCCCCCGCACACCTCCAGACACTCACACATAGCCGCGGGCGATTTTACGAGCACACATGCTTAAGTGTCGCTTCTTTTCGCGTAGTGTATATATTCTGTGCGCTTAGCGAGCATGTTATCGCGGCTCCATCCGCTTGTTATTCGTTACAAACGCCAAAAGCGTCAAACAAAGTGCCAAACGCCGATCAAAATCACCCAACACAAACAGGCCTCCTCACGCTGGTGTTAGCTGTTTGCCGTTCGCCAAGCGTGTAGCGTGCGCCACCATAAAATTGCTCTACTAATGATTACTGAAACGATTTTTACTGATTACTAATATTTTAAAGCTTTTGTGGATATTTTCTGCGAAATAAACAATATAATCTTAATGAAATACTTTATTCAGTAAATTAAATTATAAATTCATACATAGATAATAAAACTTTAAAAATCGAACACTGAAATAACCGAACGCTCAATAAGTCTTTCGAAGGTAGCTCGACAAATTAAATAAAAGTTTGATTCTGACGACGTAGCCTTTTTTTTTTTTTTTTTTGGTACGCTGGGGAAATGCATTGAATTGCATACCACATGGTGGTTATGTGGACTCTCCTCCCCAGAAGGGGGAGGCCTACCCACTAAAACCCCAGCGATGGCCGCCATCAGGCATTGTACGGGGCCTCAGGATCGAGTATCGCATCTGAGGACCCGCAGCCTTTGTTCCCCTGCTTCCTCCAGGGGAGTTCTTCTCGGGGGAGTGTTCGTAACCTCCCCCATCCACCCTCCTACGACGACACCCCCCGGCCATGCGGGGGTGTCATCCCTCCCAGGTCACTTCCATGAGCTCTGTCGTGCTCACCAGCGACCCGCAGCGGCACATCAGGACATTATCTGACCCGACGCCGCCTTCTTCGAGCGGGATCGGCCCTCTCCCGATCCCGCTCGGCGGCCTCCTTCTGGAGCATCACCGCTTCACAGAAGGTGACCGCAGCCTTCCAACCTCCCTCATCCGCCAGCATTGCCGCAATCAATGCTGGCGGAGACAGATCCTGCCCGATTTCTCCGACCAAGACTCGGCGTTCGGAGTCCCAAGCGGGACAATCCGCCAGCGTATGCTGGGCCGAGTCTAGTTCGGATGGGCAGTGGTGACATCGTGCCGTGTCCTCACTCCCTATTCGACTCAGGTACTCACCGAAACAACCATGTCCGGTGAGTACCTAAGTCAAGCGGTAGGTGACTTCCTCCTTCCCATGGAGCCAAGCTTCGAAGTGCGGGAGTATAGCACCGACGGCGCGTTGACGCGCGCAGCCCCCCAACTCTAGCAGTGCGCGCCAATCCCTCTCAGCCCGTCGGTGCAACTCCCGCCTGTGCATTCCATGCGCGGGTTCTGGGGAGCTCCCCCTGTCTCCCCCCCGGTCGACATGTCGCGGCGCGTTGTACATCACCGCGTACATGTCGGCCAGGATTTCGAAAGGGGGGGAGCGCCCCAGAACCGTCGCCGCCTCGTACGAGATTGTGCGGTAGCCCCGCACGATCCGTATAGCCATTGTCCGCTGCATGCTCCGGAGAAGAGCTCTGCAGCGGGAGGACCTCGTGCAGTCTCGCGACCACACGGGGGCCCCATACAAGGCCACGGACCGTACGACGCCCGCGTACAGGCGGCGAACGCCGTCCCTCGGTCCGCCGAGGTTGGGCAGCAGGCGGTGTAAGGCACCCGCTACCCTTTTAACTCGGGGGACCAACCGCACGAAATGCTCTTCGAAGCTCCACCTGCTGTCCAAGGTGAGACCAAGGTACTTGATATTTGGCCCCACCTGAACCTCTGCGTCACCTACCCGTATCCGGCAGCTGGGTGGTTCCCGTCGCCTTGGAAGGCCGTGGAACCATAGCGCCTCAGTTTTGTGAGGCGCTATTTCTAGACCCAGCCGGCGGATTGCCCCCACGACACATGCCACCCCCATCTCGGCAAGCCTAAGCGTTTGCCCGAAGTCGTCCCCCGTCGTCACGACGAGAGTGTCGTCGGCGTAACAGACGACACTCACGTCGCGAGGAAGGCTGGTGCGAAGGACCGCGTCGTATGCGAGGTTCCATAAAAGGGGTCCCAAAACTGAACCCTGTGGAACGCCGCACTCGACCCTCCTCGTCGTTTCCGTCCCGTTCCTTCCCACCACTCGGATTGTCCTGTCGCGCAAGTAGTCCCCAACCACGGCCCGCAGGTAGGGGGGCAACTCGTGGTATTCGAGTGCTTCCCTGATGGACTGCCAGGGGAGGGTGCCAAAGGCGTTGACGATGTCCAGGGACACCGCCAGAACCACCCCCCTCGATCGGACTGCGAACTCTGACAGCGACCGGACGCGTTGGATAGCGTCCAGCGTCGATCGCCCCTGCCGGAATCCAAATTGGCAGTCCGACAAGTCGGGACCCACGAGCGACAGGTGGTCGCTGATACGGGCGGAGATAACCCGTTCGAAAAGTTTCCCCGCCTCGTTCAGCAAGCAGATCGGACGGAACGATGACGGAACGTCTTCGGTCCTTCCCTCCTTCCTCAGCAGCACCAGCATGGCCGACTTCCAGTCGATAGGGAACACACCCTCTCTGAGGCATTTTGTAAAGAGCTGCCTCACTTTGTTCCCCAAGGCCCTTAGCGCCAGCGCCAACACCTTACCCGGGACCCCATCTGGGCCCGGTGCGGTGTTGCGGGCCGAGAGCCGCGACACAGCTCCGGCTAGCTCGCTCTCCGTCACCCCTAGGTCGTCCGACCACGGAGCGGGCGGCGGCGCTTCGGAGGGACTGTCTTGGACCCTCGGGAAGAGCGTATCCACCACTCTTCCCGTGAAATCGGGGTCCAGGGTTTCCGTCAGAGGAGGGACCCACGGTCGGAGCTTGCCCAGTACTATTTTGTACGGGCGCCCCCATGGATTTCTTTCCAGTCCCTCCAGGAGCTCGTTCCAGGACCCCGCCTTGGCGTCAGCGATGGCGATGCTGATCGCCTTGGCAGCGGCTCCGTATTCCCTTCTGACACTCAGGACTTCCTCGACTGAGGCTTGCCTTCTTCTGCGGGCCCTGAGGTACTGACGTCGCGCAGCTATTACTGCGATCCTAAGCCGCGCGATTTCCTCATTCCACCAGTATGCAGAGCTCCGCCGGGGCGGCCTGACTCGGGGCATAGAGACGTCGCAGATCGACGTCATTGTTTCCCCGAGCCAGGCCGCACGCGCTTGCGCCTCGAGATCGGGCAGGATCCGTTCCTCCTCCGACCAGTCCGCGACGTGTGCGGCGGCAAGGGCCATGTCTCGGTCCAGCCGCTTGATGGACCAGCGTCGCGGACGGCTGTCCTCCTGGGGTGAACGGGAAGGGCGGCGGAGGGACACATCGAATATAATGTGACGGTGGTCGGACAGTGTGGCCAACTCCTCCGCGACCCTCCAACCCGACACCATGCGGTACGCAGCGGGAGTGGCCCACGACAGGTCGACGATCGACTCCCCCTGCCACCGCACGCAGGTGCTGACTGAACCTTGGTTTAGAAGCCGAAGGTTCAGTCCCGCCGCACACTCCAGGAGTGTCTCTCCTCTTACGTCGTCCCGTTTGTCACCCCACTCTCTTGAGTGGGCGTTGAAGTCACCCAGTACGAGAACCGGACGGGGGGTGCAACCGCGAACGCAGTTCGCCAGCCCGTCCAGGAATGCTTCGAATGCGGCGAGGCCGCAGTTCGGGGAGATATAACAGCCTATCGTGACCGTGGACCCCCACTCCACGGCCACGAATCCCGGCCCTCTGGCGAGGAGGGTGCAGTGCGGCCTGTCACTCGCCCAATAAATGGCTACCAAGCCCTGGTCGTCCCCGAACCACCTTGGGTGGTTCGGGACAGAGTAGGGCTCGGCAACGACCGCCAGTGCGACTCTACACTCCGCGAGCGTCTGGATCAGAAGGTCCTGCGCTGCGCGGCAGTGGTTAAGGTTGCCCTGCAGTACTTTACCCTGGACATCCATTATTAGATGTCCATGGTTTCCTCTCGCCCCTGGGCCGGAGCGGGGGGTTGGGCATCATCATAGCCTGTAAAGGCTACGAAACGTCAATAAATAAGTAAAGTTTCGTGCATTAACCCGTAAAAACTAGTTTTATTTAATATAATCTTTCTTTTTACATTAAATATCACTTTTTGATATGAGAGGTTAAGCGATAAGGGCCAGTAAAATTATAGCCTTACCTGGAAGAAGGTTTTTCGCAAACTTACGTGTCTGAGCGGCTTAATGTGAGTGGTTTAACTGTCCAGAGGACTTGGCAACGGTATCAAAAGACCGACTGTCAAAAGAAGACAAGGTTCGGGAAGAAAATGATACACCGAACCAAGAGATGACCGCTTTTTGGTGAGTCAGGCGTTCCGGAATCGTAAGGTGTCAATTGCGGATCTGAATAAAAGCCTTGAAGAAGTAAGAGGAGAAGAAGTTAGCTTGTGGACGGTGAGGCTTTTGGCTGCCAATATCAGAAGTTCGAATCCGTATAACTAGAAAAAATCCCACGCGGACCAGGCAGAAGACGGGACACGAACCCATATGCTTCATGGATTTAGGAGGACTGGAATAAAGTATGTTTTCTGAGATCTCTAGATTATCTTTGTGTGAAGAGGACCGACGCCGGCGAGTGCTGTGTAGGGACACGATATCGAATAGAAAGTATCGATACTGTACTCATGAGTAGTATCGGTAAAAAAGTATCGTACTCGTAAAAGTATCGAAACAAAAGTATCGATACTTCAAAGTATCGAGTACATTTCATAGGGCCTTATCGGACCCTCTATAGCCTGATGAGCACCCCCCCCCCCCCCCCCCCCCGGTGTTAAAATTGAAAGAAAAACAATCGAATTTTATTATAATAAGTATAATCAAAAACAAAATAAGGACATGTAAATTCACAAATTGCTTTATTATATAATGAAAAGAAAATAGCTGTGATTTCTGACACTAAAAAAGTGTTCATTAATATTACATTCATAATGAAAATGTTAATTAAAAAGATCGAAATTTTAAACAATTTAAAAGTATGAAACTTTTCAGATTTGTTTCAAATTAAATTTACTTTTCTTGAATTTTAATCATTAAAAAAAATTATACCCACTTATGTTAACTTGAATCTGACACGTAGTTAACGGCTGCCATTGGCATGCTTCACTCAAGATTATAATTATAGAAGAGGTTACGTCCGTCTTTTTTCAGGTGGTTTCAAATAGGTATACACAGCACAGACAGAATAATAGTGTTACACTTGAATAAATCAAATACAGTCAAGCGAAAAGCACAATAAACGGCGAATCAATCACAGTTCCTAACAATATGGTCGCTAAATAAATAACTATGAAACAATAAAAGGCGCAAAATAAACACAGTCACAGATTGGAAAGAATTTGAATATGTCAGTTACTGACTTTATAACAACGCAATAGGGCATTTGACGGTATTAAAAATAAAGTGCCAAAATAACGAAAAAGATATAAGTTTTCTTATCTATTGTCACGTAACCCAAAACGCTTGGGATTAGCGGAGCCTAAAATGACGTCACACGCAAGTAAACTTTCGGTCAAAGTGACATTACATTGTATCGTTTGACGTTTTGATAACAGTCGTGTGACGTCAAACACTAGTAAAACGCCATATTGTCCAGAGAAACATTTTCGCGGCAACTTGAATATGGAGTTTTTGATTTGGTTATTTTTACTAAAATACACAACAGAATGATGAATATCCACTTTTTACGGACTCCATAAACATTAGTCAATAACGTGAGATTGTTGCCTAAAACTTGTCAAATACCCTATGGAACGTTTTAAAAGGTTTGCTATGATTTAACAAGATGGCATTGCCAATATGAGGCGCTTATCCAATTTTTTAAAATCGATACTTGCCAAAAAGTACTCATTTAGTAAAAGTATCGAATAAAAAGTATCGAGTACAAAAGTATCGGTATCGAAAGGAAAAGTACTCGATACCACAAAGTATCGATACTTTTTTCGTGTCCCTAGTGCTGTGCAGCCCACGGAAACGTTATGCAGAAGTGTGTTTCGAAGAAATCACTCTTTACGGCGGAGGCTCCAGTATGTTTTGGGCAGCAATCAAATCGACGCAGCGTACGGAGTTAGTTTTCATAGAAATAGTAAAGCACACCTGTTCATAAGGAAAGTCCTAATTCCATATGCACAACCCGCATTGACTGCACTTAAGGAAGATCCCATTTTTATGGACGACAACGCTCGCCCGCACCTGTCTAGCCCCTTCGGCCGTCTACGAAACCGTAGTTTCGTAACTGGTGTCGATGAAGAAATTATTATTCCTTGTACGTAACTAGTGTTCATGAAGGAATTATTCTTCTTTGTACGGAACGGTTACGTACAAAGAATTATTGCAATTTTACAAAGAGGCACGAGTAATAGACGTGCATAAAAGTGGGGCAAAAAAAATCTAAAAAGTACATAAAATCAGTTCAGAAGTCCATAAATGAATTAAAAAGAAAATAAAATAATTGTAGGCTGATTTTGACAAGAAGAGGTCAAACTCGTTATTAAGTTTTTACATTTGTAAAATCAAAAAAATCTTCTTGTCTTTATTGCCGACCACCTCTTATTATTCGGTCGTGTATATTGATTTCAAAAGAATTCATCGAAAATTAATAAAAAATTGAACGTAAAGTAAATGACAGAATTTACTTTACGCATATTATTTTTACACGATTATATATAGGTATACAGACAACGTCAAACAATTTAATTTCATTGATTTAACTGAAATCGACATTAGAATGTAAATTTCCTTAGGTGGTCGTTTTTTTGCAAAAGAGTGTATTTGGAAACGCATAGGTACGGCATCGACGTTTCCTATGCCATTTTCCTCTTTTGCAAAGATAAATAATAATTATGTAAGTAGCTAATTTTATTATTTTCAGGACGTACACTTTAAAGAACTGTGAAATGGAATGCGAAGCAAGAGCCATGCTGGATTTATGCGGATGCGTCTTCTATTATATGCCAAGTAGTTACAAATTCTTTTTTATTACCACACACAAGTTTTAAGTTTGTCGGAACTTCCATAGTTAGAGTGCTTAACCACACCCTTGCATATATGCTCGTTTATTGTCTATTTTAATAGAAAAAGTATAATAACAATAATTTAATTAATTTTCAGAAAACAAAACAACACGAATTTGCGGGAAAGCTGAAGCAAAATGTTACGGAAATACAACTATTTTAAGACCAAAAAGTTAGTAAAACGATAAGTCTGCAGTAGACTGACAGTAGCAAATATGAAAACTTTGCACATGACAGTACAGATTATAGTTAAATTAACTAACCCTGATACATTAATATTAATCGACATAAAAAAGGAGGAGGTTCTTAACTATATATATACATACATGGGCCACATCGTTAAGAGCCGAGAAAATGGAGCCCTATTGCTGATATTCTGTCGTCTGTCTGTCTGTCCGTATGCCAATGGTCTCTAGATCATAAACAGAATGAGTTACAGAATTGAAATTTTGGCATTTTATGTGGAATGCTTACCCAAAGTCTAACTTTTAGTTCAAAATTCAATTTCATTATATTTATTCGTGGTCTCTTACACGTGATACATCATTGTCTTGAGCTCGTTGAGTAGGATATGAATATTGTTACGTATCGGAACAATCGATCCACCTCCATAAGACAAACCTGGTGTTTCAGAGAAAGAGTGCGAAGAGTGTCTGCCAGCATGCACGGAAATAGCATTTTTCGAGCGCATGAGTTCTGCGCCACTCAGCAAGGCTCTTATCAAAAATCTCGCCAGGAGCCTCAACAACAAATCACTGGAGTACTTTGTGTAAGGCCAGATTAAGGAGTACAGCTATCTTTACTATGTTTGGTCATCATAAAAATCACCTAATTAATTTGCCATATCTATACTTCTATACTTAATATTACAAGGTTTGTATGTAAGTATGTTTGTAACGAATTTGCTCAAAAACTACTGGACCGATTTTAAAAATTCTTTTACCATTTGAATGCTACATAATCTCTTAGCATTAATATAGGCTATAGTGTATTTTCAAAAAAGTTAGGGTTCCGTATGAAAACTTCGATAATGTAACCATGTAACCCAACGTGTGTACAAATACCTTAAAGTAGCAAGGCTACTTTATATCGCGTACGCTGTGGAAGTCATTGACAATAGAGCAAAGTGATATTCTAAAGTTTTATAGGGGATACCAATATCTACAAAAAGAAGTCAATACCATTTGTCTAACTATAAGAGTTATGTCACAAATAGAGGTCCCCTGCATTTCACCCGCGTTAATTTGAAGAAAAAAAGTTTATAGTGAGTCAAACTTAAAATATAGACATAGGCTGTCGTGAGCTTTTTAACAGGACTTTTAAGGGGAAAGAATTCCGTCATACATGATTTTTGTTTAACTTTATCCGTGTACCCAGCGCACGCAACGGAATCTCACAAATGGAATATTTTTACCCGTTTTTGCAACATTTTTCATCGATGCTCCGCTGCTACTGGTCGTAGCCGGTAATTAAAAGCCTTCCTCGATAAATGCACTGTCCAATACAAAAATAATTTTTCAAATCGGAACAGCAGAGCAATGTTGCATTCGGTACAACGGGTCCTACACTACGCAACAATTTGTTCACTTGGAATGGAAGGTTTTTAATTATTATGAAGAAGGTCATTGTGTATAATTCAAGCCTTTGAACAAGCACTATATAGTCTACACTACAGCTCTACTCCGAAGCAAAGCGAGGGCGGGCCACTAGTAGTTTATAAAGTTCACACTTCTTACAAAGGCTCTGAATCCACAACATGCTCAAAGACAACAGGCTACGCTTCGGTGTATTTAACAAATCGTGTCCATAAACATTAGACTTTCATTTGTAGCTACTATTTATAATTTCAAATGGTATTGAAAGATCCAACACAGAATAACATGATATTTAAGTATTTGCATTATTTTATTTACCGTTTTCTTACAGAGAAAACATGCTTGTGGTCCATTTTTACTTTGAGGACGACACATTCATTCGATTCACAAAAGGAGAAATTTTTGGATTAACAGAATTTCTATGTAAGTAAATACGCAGGACACATGGATGACAGAAATATGTATGAGGTTCAATTAGAAACCACAAAGTAGCCCTATCAGCCTATACCCGTTCTGCAGAATCATCATCTTTTTGCTTTTCTATTATGCCACCGCTTCTTGGTTTATGCCTCGCTTTAAGGGTTGTGGTTCAACAGTTCTTATTCTTACTTTGCAGTACTGTGTAGTATGGTAAGGAAACACGCTTCAACTTCAAACCACCACTTGTGAATGAATCTCTTTGATTGAAATGAATCTCGTCGTAGCATATTTTTTTTCATTCTTTATTCTTTGCAACGCATAATTTCAGCTAACACTGGTGGTCTGCTCGGTCTGTGCATGGGCTTCAGTATGATGAGCGCAGTGGAGTTGCTCTATTACTTGACGCTGCGCGCCCTCTGCTCCGCCCGGCAACGGCGGCCGAAACACGAGTTCACGACATAAACCCTCCTTAATTATAATAAATATTTTAGTACACAAATGTCTTTTCATACGTACTGATACACGATCAAAGCCCTTAAGTCTGCGCTGCTTAACCAAGAAAAACACAAATAAAATTTGTGTATGTTTCAAGAAATTGGAATTCGCTGGGTACACGATGACAGCGCCAACCAGCGGTTACTGCGTAATTTGACATGCCAGACCCACCATACCCCTGGGGGTAGGCTGGGCCTGAACCATACCACCGTTGTAGCGCTGGGATTTGAATGTCAAATGGCAGGCTTTCATTACGATGATAATGTAAACTAACAAATTATTTCAATAAAATATCGTAATTTACATAAATTCTATTCGATTGTATAAATCTATAGCATATAAAATAACGGGCTAAACTGTACTTCCAGGGCCCAAGTGGTGATACTTCACACTAGGTTAAGTTAGTGTTGTGACCATAACGCGCGAGCCGAGCGAGCGAAGCGAGCGTGCAGTGCAGCGGCAGCGGCCGGCGAAACGCCAGAAAAAAAAAGAGACCTTTTCTACAAAAAAGTTCGAGTATCACCTCTAGGCCCTGGAAGTAGTTTTACAAAATAACGTTGACCTTCTTTATTTCCCGCCTAAAATGCCACAATCAATAATTTCTAGAAGTACACAGACTTTCTCTTAGCTGACTTCACGAGAAGTAAGTGAAGAATTAAATAAATTTATTCGAATAACACATTTTATGCATAGTTATTACAGACGATAATTTATGACTGTAGTATCATTAATAATGCAGACTTATTGTGTATATTCAGTTAAACATGGGCAAATTAATTATAAAAACTGGATTCCGGGCAATCGCACACGCCATTGCTTTCCGACCAATACTTTGTTGTTTCCAACCACAAACGACAATAAAAGGAAACCAGTTAGTTTTGGCTAAACATGTGAAATATGTAAAAGCATTGTAACGTGCTACTCCCTACAAAATAATATATAAAAAAAAAGTTTCTCTAAAAATTAGATCACTTAGTTTATTTTTTCGTCTTGACAGCGATTATCCATTTCATTTGTTATTCTCGTTCCAACTTACATGTGGAAATTTGTGATCACTTATTTTGCCATAGTCCTTGCGGTTAACTAGGTACAACAGTACAGGTTGTACGCAGTAGGATTAGTGACACATGTTTATTTATTTTTAAATAAAATGCACGGATACGTAAATTTTGCAAATAAAAAGTGACAGTTGCTCTGCCAAGTTCCTTTTTCATCATGGTGCGCGCTGCGATCGATTCATGGTTCCCCCACCTCCTGCTTCGCACCCAGCGAATAGCTATTTAATGTATCTTTATACATACACGAATTAAATCTTTGCATATGTTACGCTCAAAGATCGAAAACGCTCAGTGAGCGGAAAAATAGCTCACAATGCGTTGTGGTCACAGTAAAACATCCACATCGCGAAATTCGTGTTATGGCTCTAATGAAAACGCGCACGACGCGTTGTGGCAATCACAGAAAGACCAAATAACGAACTTCGTGTCGTGGCTGACATGCTATTCGATCTCAACGCGTTGTGATGATCATTAATTCATCAGGTCTCTACCAGTTAGGAAACAATTTCTATCGAATGTACCTTACATTCGATAGACTTTATGCACGTAATGGGTTTACACTTTCTGAAACCAACTTTATTAACTTTTGTGATGTGCCCTCAACTTCGTCATTAACACTTCGCTCAGCATCTATGTTATCATCTGGAAGTAAGGAAGGGTTTATAATGTGCCACTGCAAAAGATAATGTATTGATAAACAGTGAAAGTGTTGCTCCAATAATATAAAATGCAACTCAAAATACCACAGTAATAGTTCCTGTAAAAATAAATAGCAATCAAATATTTATTTTTCACAATTATAGTAATTTCTAATATAAGTAATTGATTTAAGTACACTGTTGTTGTTTATTGGTGATCAATAAACATTTATGTTCGTGTTAAATATTTTTATTACTTGAAAGAATTTTAAATTGTCATAAAAAAATTAAAATCCCTAATTATTTTAAGTGAATTATAAGTAATTTACAATTGATTAATATTTTGTGTTCAGTAATTTATTACTTAATACGTTGATTTTTTTTTAAATATAAAGTAATCTCTATGAATAACAAATATCGTTTTATTTTAATTAATATAATTATATAACATATTTAATAATGACAAACACGCTTTGCAGTGCTTTTATAAAATATTTCCAGCCTAGGCCTAGTAGGATCCATATCGGAAAGTAGTGTGCGTCGTAATTAAATAATATTCCATACGCGTCATGGCTTTTTTTCATTGCCATAACGCGTTGAGATCGAATAGCATGTCAGCCACACGACACGAATTTCGCTATTTGGTCTTTCTGTGATTGCCACAACGCGTCGTGCGCGTTTTCATTATAGCCATAACACGAATTTCGCGATGTGGATGTTTTACTGTGACCACAACGCGTTGTGAGCTATTTTTCCGCTCACTGAGCGTTTTCGATCTTTGAGCGTAACACATACTTATACCATTATTAATAAACGAGGAATAAGTTTAAACCAAGTCGTTATGCCGTGTTTTTTTTAAATCACTCAAATGCCATTTTTCAAACAATGAACAGACAAAAAAACATGGAGTAGCTAATCCAAGCCTATTCTTCGTTTATTTGGGGAATAGAGTTTATATGTGCTTTAAGCACTTATAACGTATTTAAGCAAGTATTGTATTTATTCCATGTTGTCGCATTCCTATTCTTAGTAAGTAAAAAAAAATCGACAACAAAATCTACACGGCAACGGCAACAAATGATTACTGAAACGATCGATTCATATCAAAAGGCAATATTAATAAAGCCAGATTCTAGAATACGAAAAAACGACTAGTTGCAATTTCAATATCATCTAGCGTTAAACGCCGCGATACTGGCAAAGCCCTGCACATGTCCTGTCTGATGATAAGCGCCCGCCAAAGCGTATACAGACTACAGAGGCGGTTTTACCTATGATATAGGGCGAGTGCTGCACGCGGGCGCATCGGTCTCAGGGGACACCGAGTGTCACTCGCCAGCAACCTATGATAATATAAATATTTCCAACAAGTACTTATTAATAAAACTATAGAAATAGAATTATATAGGTTTTTTTTAATAAAAAGCAAATATAAACAGACTTAAGTTTATAAAAAAATACCTATCTTTACAGTTATCATTAAATTTCAACTTATCTACACAATTTACAAGTCAACTCATCAGTATGATTGAGGAAAAGATTACATAATCGTATGTGTGTACTAACAACAAATTTACCAACATCTACAAGTAGCACATTCAACATTAAAGTTGGAAGTAACTGCCATTTTTATCAGTAGATTATATAAATGTTTAATAAGTTGTATGATAGAATAAGAGCGGCAATATACTTACATGCCATTTTGAGATGGTCCGTTCGTAAATAAAAGAAAAACTTTGACCTGCGTTTGCATACTGCCTACGAAGTTGTTTTAAGTTAACCATTTCATTTCATTTTTAAATTATTGGATAAGTAATGAGCAGTGTATCTTACGCTTGAAGTTACAAATCCACACTAAATACACAACTTAAGTAGCTCGAAGTTCGGTATTCACTTCCTAGATAAATCTTTTGCTTAGTCAGAATATCTTAGACCCCTCCAAAATTAGGGGACAAGTGGGATATCTATCTCTTTCAAATAGATTTTATTAGTAAAATGAGAATGAGCCCATATATGTCGGTTTTTAGATTTTGCATCTATATCAGCACTTCTATCAAACTCATCGGTAAACTTTTAAGTGGCTATTCAGATAACGCGATTCACACTTCATTGCGCAATTTATCAGGCTGAGAAAGAACAATTCATTCATTAAACATTAAAACGCGTAAAAGTCGCATCATCTGAACAGGCACTAACTCTCCACTCAATCATAAGTATGTAAAAAAGCCGCTTAACAATATTTCCTATTCTATTGTATGACAAAGATATTTTGCAATTTGGAAAAACTTCAAATAATAACATTAAATTGTTTCATTAAAAATTATTTGTACCTTACATGACCACTGTGCAATATGTAAAATTTTATGCTAACAGTAAGTTGTCAATAAATTTCGTTAGCATTACAAAATAATTTATGAGATGAGAAAACCAAATTATTCATAATAAATACACTCCCGGATACATCAATCAACCCACTAAATGTTGTAAGTTTCAACGTTCTATAGCAAAATGCTTTTGTTAAGTTGAGGAATAATATATATAGATATTTAAAACACACACGAAAGATGGTTAGTATTACCTTCAAAACTATGTAAAAACTTTTTGCTCAATGTAATTTTATTTTTTGCTAGGGACAGCCAAAACTTAAAATGCCAGGTGGGCCGATAGGTGTTTACATCCCAGAAGTATACATTGTTTTCAAACTAAATGAAGTATTAAAACTACGACTGTTGCCTGGGAGGTCCCTGTGTTGGGGGCGCGGGCGGCGCGGGGGGCTGAGGCGCGTCCGGCGGCTGCAGGGTGCGCGTGCGTCGTCTAGTGTAGTGTTGCCATAACAATATAGCTTGGTCATCCATGAATTTGCACACCTATGCAGCACAAAATATAATATGAAATTGATACCTTTATTATTTAAAGAAAATATATCTAGAAAAAAAAATCCATGGATGACCAGGCAGCAGAAGGGGTCGAACCCGCACCCTTCGCAATCCGGGTGAACGCACTGACCAATTATGCTACCGCGGCCCTCACGGACCGCGTCGAAATTCTTCTAGACATTCTTAAGCTGCAAGGCAGCGCCATCTCTTTGCATTATAGGTAACCCACAATGTCTAAATAATTGGTCAGTGCATTCGCCCGGATTGCGAAGGGTGCGGGTTCGAGTCCCGTCTGCTGCCTGGTCCGCGTGGAATTTTTTTCTAGTTATATTTTCTTTAGATTTAAACATCAAGCAGTTACATGCTTTAAAATAATAAAAATTATACCTCTACTATTGTAAAATATTGCATTTATTTTAAAAATAAGCTAATTTCTCAATAAAAAGCCACCTGAAGTTAGTTCATAATCATTTCCATCAACCCTTGTAATTAACTGTACAGTGTCTGTCTCATTCTTAATTGAGTGAGGCCTAGGGCTTGGTTCTTTAATCCTTATTAAATTAAGCACCTTCTACAGTTACTAAATTTAATCATATTTCAACAAAACACTGTAGATAATTAAAAGAATATTTATTACATTAAAAACAACCAAACAGTGATTTTCTGCCAACACCTTTACTATAGTCCTTATATACTAACCTGTGCTGAAACACATTCCCTTCGAAATGCCTCATGTTGTAGCAGTTCCAGAAAATGCAGACACATAGGATATTTAAGATATCTAGCATACTCTGGTTCACGCCAATACTGAAGATATCTTATGTAATTTACAAAAGTTTGCTCCTTAAGGTAACCTCTCTGTGCTAAAACTGTAACAAAAAAACTACAGGTGCCTTATTCCAAAATGAGGAATAAAGTTAGTATTGGTTTTCTTTTTAGTCCAGGTTTAACTTTAGTCTACATTTTGTAATAAGGCAGTAGAAGTTAACTATCATGTTTACAATAATAGAAATATCTAGAATCCTGTCAGTGTAATCTGTTTCATTCATCAACTTATACCAAGAATTTAAAAAACAATAACCATCAGAAAACAAACTAAAAGCTGGAAACAGTTATAATTAAGTAATTTCAGGCACATCTTAGATTAAAAAGTGTTTCACAGAATGGCCCCTTTATACTTTCTAACTTGTTTTGACTTTTAGTTCATCTCCTAAAGTTATAAAACAGTAGTGTTTTTTGATTAATTTGATGCTTTCTAGTGCTAAGTATAAGATTTTGAACCTGTGGTTCTGAAAAAAACATGATATATCACAAGGAGATAGGGAGAATATAAAGTGATATCACATGTATTTATTTTGTGTAGACTGTACTTTTGTTAAAAAGGGTTTATTTAAGTATATACATACAGGAAACCCCTATAGGCAGTCATGGCACAAGTTCTGCATTAGAAGTGACATTTCAACTGCTTTATATTTTTGCAACTATACTCAATGCACTCAGAGAATATATATATATATTTTTTAATAACTAAGTTGTTCGCTATGTTTAATTTAATAAGTCACTGTAATCAAAATAATTATTCAGAACTATAAACTCAGAGAATATTACATACATGTAATATTCTCCCAATTTTTAAAACATTTAGTTTTGATCCCGATTTTTAAATCAAAACTAAATGTCATGCACTGGACAGGCTCAATCCCGCTTTTCGTTAATAACTAGGCTGTGCGTGCAGCTTACTGAGAAAGCAGAACAAAGAAGAACTCTCAAACAAAGAATCAACTATTTAACAATAGGGTAAATCTGATATAGAATATCATATTTTTATTAAAATACATGTTCTATGAATTTTTTTACTAGGTTACTACCTATATGTTGTCTTGTAATTACATGTGTCACGTAATTTGAACTCAAATAAAAAGATAAATATTTGAAAGCTTTTGATTATATGCATTTTTTTGTCATGTCCTGCTTTCGACAAAAGAATTCTGCTTTTTTCACTCAAAAAGTTCTTAAATCCCGAATTAGCAGAAAAACTCTGGCAACGCTGATTACATGACACTAGATATTCTATTAAAGTGACATCTGTATAACAAAACTATAGGATATAATTATACTCACAATGTATATAATTAGGATTGGCCAAGCACTGTACGAATTCTAGTTCGATTTGAAATCTAATTCTATTTTGCTCCTCTGTTTCTGATAATACTGAAAACAGACATACAGAAACAGTGCAATAATACTTCTCCTGATGCAGTCAAGTAAAAATTAGCAATTTATATTAGAATTAATGATAATTGCAATAAAATCATATCGAAACCTCTGAGTTATTCCACGCAATTAAATACATTTCAATTGAGAATGATTCTACCAACAATTGTCATTAGTACATTATAGCTTCAAAAGTGTATGGATACCTTTAGCAGCCATCATTTTGAGGAAGTTCCAATTTTAACAATTCTAAAACAAGCTTATTGATGTACGCTTTTACAAAGAAATAATAAAATAAAACATAAATATATATCTTTATAATAGATTATTTACTGATCTATGACTGAACACTATTACTAATCCTAACCTAACGAAGGTTACAATACCAACAAACATAATGTTCTAAGAAGAAACAATGCTGCTTCCTTAACTTATTAAATTAAAAACAACAGAAATAAACTTTGCTAAAATTCGAGTAATTTTAATTTTTGGATCCAAACAAATGATATGACAGAATGCCTGCTGACTGACAGCATCACATTTTTTTGGTCAATCTGTCTCTGTTGGGACGGGCAAAGGATTCCGAGTCCATACAGCCCTGTCTGTAAACTTTTCTTCCTTAAAATGTTTTGATTGTAGCTTATACAAATTTGTATAAAGGAATGAAGGTGTCGTTATTTTGTAAAAGTTTTCTCAAGTCGCGCGGGATGGTTTCTTCGCCAAAAGTACTTCGAAGGTCTTGAAGCAGCAAATTTCTCTGTACTTGAAATGAACCGCAAAAGAAAATGATATGGTCCGGGGACTGATTTATATGTTGCAGAAGTTACAAACATGTGAGCTACAACATCTTGAGCCAGTACAGGTGATTTTTAAAAGGGCAATGACCTATTCTAAGAGTTGGGTTACACGATCAGTTTGGCATCAGTTCAGTCCATCAGTCTGGTAAGTCTGACGCCAGGCTGATTGTGTAATGCGTTGACTGATGGACTGATAGGTCGGACTGACAGAATTTTAAATATTTTGATATTTTACATCAGTCCGGAATGGACTAATGGAAAACTGATCGTGTGACACGTTGCCATCAGTCTCCCGTCAGTCACCGCTCGGACAGCGATGGATGAACACGGCGAAAATGCGTACGCGGGACGTCCCGGGACTTCGAGACTTTTAATAATAACATTTGTGTTGAGTTAATTTCTGGTAAAACGGTTTAATAGAAAGGCACTTTTTGGTAAAAAAACAATATTTATTAAACATAAAACCCTAATAATGTTTTACGTTAAAGTCAGTCTAAATAATTAGTATGTTTATTTCTTACAATCACATATTCACTTTTGTGCAATTAAATCCTATAGTTATAATCTTAGGAACAATCATACTAATTCTTAATAACTGTTATATAATATTAAGTATTTGGTCCTAATAATAACATTCGTAATTCTCATAATCACAGATTTATTTCGTAATAAAATAATCAAAATAAAAAACACACTTATAAAGCAGTCTGATACATAAATAAACAAATTAAAATTAGACTTCAGAAATTAAAATCATAATCCAAACGTCACAGAACAAACATAATGTCGGCGCGGCAATCGCATTTATTATGTTGTGTGTAGTAGTTTTTTAGATTGATCCATGGCTTTTCGCGTAATACGTTCACATGCGACTAAGTTTTGGGAAGACTGTTATCAGTCTGGACTGACCATGTAATCTGTCTATCAGTCCATTAGTCTGGAGTGATGGACTGAACTGATGCCAAACTGATCGTGTAACCCTCCTCTAAGTCTGCTTATAAAAATCTCTTGTTGTCCTTTATCAAACCAAGAGACACTTATATCTTTCTGAATTTCTCCAAGCCATTTTCCTTTCTCTTGCAGAGATATCTTCCAGTGGTCGAGCCATTGGGTTTTGATTTCTTTGTTTAAAAACACGTATTTTTTATAATTTGGAGCAATAGAGACACCCGATCTGAATCTATCTTTAAGCATATTAATTCATGAAAAAGCGATTTCTCATTTTTTGAATAGATTGATTAGTATAATATTTTTTCAGGATCAACTCGTATAGTAAAGACCAAATAAAATATCGATTGACATGACATAACAAAATTTTATGATCCTCCAAGAGTTTCAGCTGAAAGGTATTTTTGTTAATGTTGTGAGAAGATGTGGTATCACATGCGGATCCCTAGCAGAAAAGCAAAGGATCTAATAGTATATGGTTTCTCTATTGCTTAAAACCAGAAACATATTAAATGTCGTGCCGTGTCGTGGCGCGCCAGAAGCACATCAGTTTCATGCATTTACTAAGGTTAGAGACATATTTAAGTGTCGTGTCGTGTCGACGCTCTAACCTCTCTCTTTCTAACCCATAATAAATGTATGAAACCGATGCGTCACGACACGTAATATGTCTCTGGCTTCAGTTAGTAGTCTATACTTTATTGGACTTAAAAACCAAAGAGTAGTATTTTTATTTAAAAACTTTCTAAGCTCTGGAATCTGTGCTCAGTGTTGCCAACTCTACGTCTTTTTACGTAGATCTACGTATTTTAGGCCTTTTCTGGAAACCTACTAACTTCAGTCCCAGAATCTACGTATTTTCTTAATTTTTTTCAAATTTGTAAAATAACTTAATTCACTAGAATAAAGAAGAATATTTTCCGTTACTTTACTTAAAAACTATACAAATGTTTATTTCTTATAAAGATGTATCTAAACACTCTTGTATCTTGTAGAAAATGTTCCCGTTATTGGTTTTGTTGACTAAATTAATGCTGGACGCAGGATTTGTAAAAGCAGAAACGACAAAACTCTTTGAATTAGTAGGTACATTCATAACCTTAAAAATTGTATTTTTAAACTTTTACTACTATCTATGAGTACCTACTCACATCGAATTGATCTTTGCAAAAAGAAAAGACTTTCAGTCGATAAAGTTACAGGATTTAGCAAATTTTAAGCATATGTTCATGTGTAAGTATGTTTTTTCTCTTGGCAAATTAAACCACAACTTGTCTAGAGTCTTTTAACAAGTGTATCATGATAACTACTATATTTTTCATGTGATTTATTAGAAATCATGGTTTTATAATATTAACTTAGCTGTTTATTTCCTACGTGCTTGCGAGTGTTTGTTTACAAATGTTTTGACGTCATAGCATAGATAAGTCTATAGACTAAAGGGCGTTTTTGTATGTCTTCTGGGTAAAAAAAAAATTTTTTTTCGTTCTGATAGAACAATTATTATCAATTTAAAACATAATTCGAAAAAGTGTCAACTAGCCCATTTAACAACAGTTTATCCTTGTCATTCTCTATACAGAATGAAAAGGAGAGACTGATGTTAAATTAAGTTTTAAATTTAGAGAACCATCCAGAATCGGCACCCACCAGTGTCTGTGTCTGATGGTAAATGTTTACCACAGCATGGTAAATGCTTCCAAATTTCCAATGCAGCGACTTCTCCAAGAACTCTTTGTTCTATCTCCTGTTCTTAAACAAATTGTATAACAAAATACTCGTTTTATTCGGTTTCAAATAACTTCTTCATTTCACTCAGAAAAAAGTACGTAGATCTACTTACTTTTCATATGCAAAATTTACCAATTCTACGTAATTTTCTCATCGGGTCTACGTCTTTTTCAAAATCCGAGTTGGCAACACTGTCTGTGCTCTATTGTTCATAAATAATTAGATGGTTCTTCCCAAAGAGTATCTTCCTTTCTTTCATTGAATTTAGTCAATTTAGTGTTAATTACGAAAGCAATATTGTTCTGCGAATTGATTGATACGTAGATACATACGTGAAGGTCAAAAATATTTTCTCTCTGTTGTTCAAAACGGAACCTTTCTTTCCGTGTCAACACAACGTTAATCACTTACCAACAGGGGCGTTTCAGACAGGAAAGACTAATTAAGTTTGAAATACTTCTTGAGTGATTAATAGTTCAGTGATAATGTCCGGACATAAATATATCAGTAACACAAGCAATTTATTTGAAGATGAGGTTGATGACGACACTTTCGTATCTAGCTACCGATCGAGGATACCACCTTCACAGCCCAAGCCTACTGCTCCTTCGTATGGTGGAGGTCACATTGCGGAATTGGAACGGCAAAGACAAACGATGCTTGAAAGACAAAGAGAAATCGAACAACGAACCTTGGATTCGTCAGCACGTAGCATAGGCCTTCTACGCGACTCGGAAAAAATAGGCATAGATACTGCAGAAGAACTTGCACGCCAACGAGATACACTCCAAAACACAAACAAAAGACTTGACGAGATTAACACTAATTTAACCTATAGTCAAAAACATTTGAATGGCATCAAATCTGTGTTTTATGGACTAAAGAACTATATTTCTGGAAAATCTGATCAGACACCTTCTAGAAGTCAAGCGTCTCCTGAAATAAGAAATTCTGAAAAGAGTGGCCCTAGCCGCTTAGACAATACTTTGGACAATTTGTCTAATAATATTGCAAGTGAAGACCTATATACTTCTCATCCTTCTACACGCTTAAGAGGTTTGGAAGAACCTTCTTCATCTGGACCTGTATCTGATAGCAAACGCATCAACGATATGCTGGATGCTAATTTAGATGAAATGCTTGTTTCCATATCTAGACTGAAAGGACTAGGGGTAGCCCTTGGTGATGAGATTGAGCAACAAAATGAACTGATAGACACTATTCAAGACAAAGTGGAGGGGGCTGATATTAAAATTGGAAGTCAAAATAAACAAATGAACAAATTGCTTGGCAAATAGTTATGATATTGGCATGAGATCTTTGCACATCAACTTTTTGTACATTTTGTTAAACTGTAATTAATGCTAAGATATAGTAAATCCTTCACATCTGTCAGTGGAACATTCCTCTGTATTAAATTAATTATTATTATAATTTGTATTGTATTATAAAATGAAAAATATTATTTAGTATTTACTCTTCATCAAAATATTGAGAAAAGCAAAATTTTATGACTATTAAATGTTTGTTGATGAATGATTTATTTTAATTAAGTTACATTTTTGTAGTTAATGGGCATGTTGATAGCTTATCAATACTATGTTAATTAATCCCGAATAGAATGTTATCATCTACAATGTGATCAGAGCTGTTACAATTTTTGGTAAATTATCTTTACCAATGTAGTTTTAATTACTTTTAATATAATATACTGAAATGCATGATTTCATATACATTACAAACATTTTTTTTGCATTTTTATGTATATTTATTTACTCTTCTTTATTTGATATCCCTAGCTTCATCCTTTCCTTTATCATGATAAATACTTACTTGGATAGAAATCAGACTGGTGATGTTGCAATTACTACATGAATATTGGTCATATCTGTTAGACTTCTCATACTTGAGGATGGACTATAAATATCCCTAACTTCACCCAGCTCAAGAACAGTCCTTTCTTTCTGTGATCCTCTTCAAAGCTAAAGTATGAATGTGACAAACTAATCTATTTCCTGAAATTCGAGGGAGTATAAGTTTGTTGTTGGCCCCAGACTGGACACAATTTTGCAGACATTCATGTTACATAAGATGTATGAGAATAGAAATCTTTACAAGGATGATTGAGGATAAAAATTCCAAATGTAATTTAGTCATATAATGTTGAGTATATCATTTACAATAACAATGGTGGGAAAAAATGACTATTTCAACTCAAGATATTTAACACAGCTGCTTTACATATCACATATTATTTCTTAATTCTTTTAAGACATCTATTCAAAGAAAACATTATCAACAACCGTCTCTAAAATCATATCATTAGCATCTACATCATGTACTTTGACATGCTTTTGAAGAATTCTTTTACTAGTAAACTTCTTATTACAAATTTTACAGTTCAATTCTAAATTATAATGAGACTCTTTATGTATTTTCAAACCAGACGCAGTAGCAAAACCTTTGGAGCATACCTCACATTTATGAGGTCTAACAGTACTATGTGCATGTGCAATGTGTACCAACAAGGAATGCTTTGTAGAAAATCTTCTATCACAGCCTGCACGTTCACAAGAAAACGGTTTTGGTTTGTCTTGTCCTGTGTGAACCATGCTATGAATCCTTAAATATGATGCTCTTGTATAAGTCTTTGGGCAGTTTGGACAAGCAAACTTTTTCTCTCCATTATGACTTCTAATATGCATCATCAAAGTTGATTTGGCAGTAAAACTCTTTCCACAAGTTACACACACAAACAGTTTCCGATTGCTTGAGTGTGCAACACGAAAATGTTCCTTTAAAGACTGCCGTGATTTATAAGTCTTATTGCAAAAGCCACACTTGTACTGAGCAACTTCTTTGTGTGATATTGAATGTTGCCTGAGTCCATTTGATGTCAGAAAATGTTTCCCACATTTTGAACATAAATATTTACGAGCACCAGTATGTTTATTCATATGATATTTCAAGCCATATATTCTGGTAAAAGATTTTGAACACACTGCACAAGAATATCTCTTATCCCTTTCCTTCCTTTGAGGTTGTTCAGTAGCAGTTATTTCTGTAACTGGTGGTAGCGGGGTCAATTCTTTACATGTATCCAAACTAGGATCAAAATCGAACACAGAGTGATTACTAAACAATGGGACATCATACTCATGATCCTGATAAACAACGTTAATATCAATAGAATCTACATCAGATCTTTGTAAATTATTTGAAGACTGGATAAAAAATATCTGTGATAAGGTTGCGTTCGCTTTTAAACAGTTCAATTTGAAATTATAAGCAACCAAAGCCGTCGACACGCAGTCAGCACAAATTCCCTGGGGCCAGTTTTCTTCGTCATTATTCTGAAATGGTAGAATTTCATCTTGTAATATGAAAAAAAGCGAACGATGATTTAATAGTCAGCTAATCTGTATTTGCATAAATACCTCTAAGCAATTAAGAAATACTAAAATATCGATGAGTTTAACTTTATGAACTTCATGTTCAATTAAATCTTGTATATTCGTAAACATTGTAGCATCCGATTCTAAAAGGCATGTTCTGCAAATATTTTTCGTTAGAGGTTGTATAATGTTACAGAATTCCATTTTCGCGAAAAATTACATTATCATCATAATTTTTTAATGACGATATTGATAAATTACATTAAATTACGACGAATATTAAGGCATCTACTAAAAAAACGTCACAATGACACAATCTGCAATCGACAATCACACACGACACACGCACGCTCCTGAGCTACGTTCCAAACCGATGTTCTAGGTCATGCTTTAAGCCCGTCACAGACGTAGCCATAATATATATTAATATGAATCACAGCAAGACATATTACAACATATTTTCAATATAAATTTTCGAGTGACCGCACACGCAGCTATAATATATATTTCAATGACGTCACCAAAATAAGTCGACAGATATATTTCGGTATATTACGGTACAGTACGACCGTAGACCGATTGAGGGCAAAATATATATTATAGTATAGCTCCCGTCTGTGGTAGTTTGCTATAATATAATATATATTTCGATATATTAATATATATTACAGCTACATCTGTGACGGGCTTTAATCGTGTTTCAATGATTTTTACCCTATCCACCTTCGAATGCCAATTACAACAAAAATAGGCTAAATAAGTACATTTTTTTATGATTTTTGGTAGTTTAGGTGGTTTTCCAATTACAGAGTATAATGCGACTCAGTGGCGCACAATGCCGAATTATGCTGATGCTTAATTGGAACGTGAATTAGTTTTCAAATGCACCAGCAGAGTGCGCTAAGTTCAGTGTTGAAAAAAAAGTCAATGTTTGTACCTTCATCCATATTCATATTTAATTTTTTAACACAGTTTGAATTAACTTTGATTATTAAAAAAAAAACTATAATGAAACGAAAGTTGAATATTTTTTCAACAATAAATAATATTACTAACGATAACATATGAATAAAACATTTCGATCAATGCCAATTTAAAGAAAAAACACTTGTTAATTTTGGTTGCTTTCCAATTACAGCATTATTGTGCATTATGCGGCATAATGCTTAACGTTGAGTGTTCCAACTACAGCAACGCTTCGCACAATTGAACACTCTCAAAAGTGATGCTTTCGTGTGATGCGTGCAATGGTACCTACTTAGAGAAAGAAAATTAACAAGTGTTTTTTCTTAGAGAAGAATCTTAAAGCTTTCGTTTCATTAAATAGTTTTTTTAAATAATCAAAGTTCATTCAAACTGTTAAAAAATAAATATAAGTATGGATGAAGGTACAAACATAGACTTTTTTTTTCAACACTGAACTTAGCGCACTCTGCTGGTGCATTTGAAAACTAATTCACGTTCCAATTAAGCATCAGCATAATTGGGCATTGTGCGGCACTATATCTGTAGTTGAAACACTCAACGTTAAGCATTATGCCGCATAATGCGCTATAATGCTGTAATTGGAAAGCTACCTTAGAACAACGGCTTGAAACCGGTTTCAAAAAAGCGGTACCCGTGAATCAGACCCCTTAGTGCCGCAAGATCTTGATTACACCGAATTATCTGTGTGCTCCTTAATATGTCTATGGATAACGTTCTCTATGGTCTGTGGGTCGAAGAAAAAGTTGTGTGTTCGACTCGTTGGCAAAATATATTCTACAATTTGATTCCGATTCTAATCATTTCATGAATTTTATTGGTACTACCGTTTGCCACACTTTTAAGTTCATCAAGGAATATAAACGGAGGTAATTCTGTAGAATCTCATCAAAATTGTGTGAATTCTAACCTCTAATATTTTTATAATGGGGAATGTTTTCCAGTATTAAGTCATTGAGCAGTTCCAGCGAATGTTACTTTTATAATGTTTATTGTATGCATACAGGTAATCAGAGGGTAACATTTAATCATGAGTCGTTTTTTCGCTACTGGCTCAGACTCCGAGTCTGAGAGTGTCACCGATGAGGAGCCAGTAGTACGCGCTCCCGCTCCCGTGTACACGGTAAATTATTTATATTTATTTTGGGAAATAAATCTGTAGTAATTATATACATATTTAATTACACCTAAGTAGTCAATTGCCAAGTTCTTATAAAACTATTTGGTGGTAATCCACACCCATCATTTTAAAATTTGTTGTTTATAAGGTCTGTCAACTGAACCTCTGAATAATAATATTCCATGAAAAACCTCAACATAATTTAGGAGAGATAATTTTTAAAAGTAAATGCATTTCAATCTAGGTTTTACTTACTTTTTTAAACTTAACTCGAGATATACGTTAAAAAATGTTGTCATAAATTAAGTTCACAGTTGTAATTTTTACATTGAACAAAAGTAGGGGTCAGAGGTACAGATTTTTATTTATTTAATCATAATGATTCGAGGCTGATTTTTCACTTCCATATTAATTACCAAAAGAAATATTATCTGCAAAAATTAATAACACCAATTGAAACAAATATTTTGTATTTATACTATGTTGACAGACAAAAATTTTACCAAGGCTTGTCTTTTTTACATAACTAAATAATAATTAAAAATGAAACATATCATGTGCGTTGTTATGTTCCCTTAAATATGGTTGCTCGAAGCTATGGCTGGTCATGCTTGTGAAGGGGTGCTGCCAATGGGGATAAATCTGATCTATACTGCTTTATTATTGATTTTACCTATTATACCTAATATGAACACTGTTTTTATTTAGACTGTATGACACAGCAATAAAAATGTGAGTGATGTTGTATTGGTAGGGACATAATTTTTTTGTAAATATTGCTACTTCTGTTATATGCTGCTCAGTTTCTTCTAGTGCCCATTCTTCTCATCAGCTAAAAGATGCCCTAAATGGGTGGTACGAAAAATATTAGATGATTCAACAGAGCTTTCAATTAGTCAATTTCAATAAAGTATAATTTCATTTTATTTCAAATTAAACTTATATTCATTTGGTGAAATTTAATTATATAATATGTTTTCAATACAGTTCAGTGATGATGAAGAGGAAACAAAACGGGTGGTACGTTCTATGAAAGAGAAGAGATATGAAGAACTGGAAGGAATAATTCACTCCATACGTAATCACCGCAAGATCAAAGATTTTTCATCAGCACTTGCATCCTTTGAAGAACTTCAGAGAGCCTATACTAGAGCAGCACCTGTTGTTCAGAAGGAAGAGAATGGAATTGCTCCTAGATTTTTCATCAGAGCTCTAGCTGAGTTAGATGATTGGGTAACTGGGGCTTGGGCCGATCGAGATGCTAGAAAAGCACTCTCAAAAGGCAACAGCAAAGCTCTGACCTCCCTCCGTCAAAAATTGAGAAAGTATGCAAAGGACTTTGAAGCAGAGATATCAAAATTCCGTGAGGATCCTGATTTGCCTGATGATGATGATGAGCGTAAAGGTTGGTAATTTTTACTGATTTCTGTATTCTTACTAGTCTTCTTTACTTTTTAATTTTAACTAGGTACCTTCTAATTACAATTCACTATGAATAAATGTTAATACAAGTTCCAGCATGAGCACTGTTTTTATCAACCAATATTTTTATAACAAAGAAACTTAAATATCTATCTGTTACTTTACTAAAATCTTAAGTACATTTAAACTCATTTTGACAATATTCATAGTCGGTGCCAAGCAGCAACTTACATCTTTTTATGAAATTGTGCTCAATACAGAGTAGTGCTTAAGTTTGTGAACTAAGATTTTTTTTCCAGCATTCTGTTTTACAACTTTTGTCTGGAGTTGTGATTAACTTTTTCCTTCTAATTATCAGGGGGAAAATCCATTGACTCCTCCACCACGTGTCTGTTTGCAAGACTGTTCTGTCTCTTGAAACAGTCGTTACTGTTTCAAGAGGCTTAGGTGGATGCTAATGAGGCATGATGCCATATGGTGCCATTAGGGTGTGATTTGAGGCATGAACTATAACGTTTGACTAATTCTTCTATTTCTTGTTTGTATAGACTTAACTAAGAATAAAGTCCAAGTTTCTATCTTATTTGTTCCAGATACTTCGTCATCTGATGATTCTGACGATGAAGATAAGCCTAAGGAGAAGCCTCGTGCCCGACGGTCCCCAGAGGTCCGTAGGCGTGCTCCTCCCCAAGATGAAGATTCCTCCGATACCATGGACTGGGGGTCAAGTTCTTCCGAGTCCAGCTCTGAATCAGATTATGAAGAAAGGGGGGCTACTACAATACGTGAGAGATTCCTTAAAAAAATCACTGAAAGGGAAGAGGATGAAGAAAGAGATAGACGAAGGACTAAAAGGCGTGAAGAACGCCAAGGTCGAGCTGGAAAGGTCAGCAAGAAAGACCAGGCTGATGATGGAGGCGAATGGGAGACTGTCACAAAGGGAGCTGCCACCTCTGACAAGCCTAAGATGTTTGCCAAGGTATGAATATTTACTTATTCCTCCTTATAATAAAAGTAGTTATTGTGTTTGATATAGATAGTCAGTGTAGGTTTCTACTCTTTAACAATAGTTCACACTTGACACACTGTCACAGAGTGTATAAAGCATTTGAACACTGTATTGTTTTGGTAGTCATGTTAAAACGGAACTAAACTGAATGCCATTGATTTTAGACAGATCTCAACAAGTATCCATGACTGCAATTATCACCAGTCTCTGCAAATTCAATTTTCGCTCTTATTGATTGCTATATTATTTTGAATATATTTTTTATTGTAATACCACATGAAGTGATTATAATTTAACTTTCCAAATTCAATTAGTAAATTTTATGGAGTCTGCAAAATATATGTTGTTGAGAAAATAAAAGAAGGGTTTTTTTTTTCGTTTTATCAGGACAGCGACATTGACGTTGCTCTAGTAGTGAAGAAACTAGGTGAGATCAGTGCTGCTCGTGGACGTAAACGCACGGATCGTCGAGCACAACTAGAGCTCTTGCATGAATTACGAACTGTAGCTCAACAACACAATCTTGGCGACGCCCTACAACTGAAACTCCGTGCTGCCACTGTTGCTGCACTCTTTGATTACAATCCTAAAGTTTCAGATGCAATGAAACCAGAATATTGGTCCAAGCTGGTAGAGAATGTTGACCATATGGTTACTTTACTTCTAGCTCATGAAGATATGATCTTGAGTCAATCCATACTTGAAGAGAACGAACAACTTATTACCGCGCCGTTTACGGTGCGCGGCTGCTTACTGACGGCATTGGAGCGACTTGACGATGAGTTCACCAAATTGTTAAAAGAATGTGATCCTCACTCAAATGAATACGTCGAGAGGTTGAAAGATGAAGTCAGGGTGTCCGCTTTGATCGATCGCGTATGTCAGGTAGTCGAGCGTGATGGAACACCTCAAGAAATTTGCAGGGCTTACCTCCGCAAAATAGACCATCTTTATTACAAATTTGATCCTCGTGCTGTCAGGAAAGACTTACCGCCGGGTGAAGAAACCACCATCAAAAAAATGGAACGTCTCTGCAAGTTCATATATGCGAACGACGAATCGGATCGTCTGAGGACTCGCGCTATCTTGTCGCATATTTACCACCACGCCCTGCACGATAACTGGTTTCAAGCGAGAGACCTGTTGCTGATGTCTCATCTCCAAGAGAACGTGCAACATTCTGATCCTAGCACTCAGATCTTGTATAATCGTACAATGGCGAACTTGGGTTTGTGTGCGTTCCGGCGGGGCAACGTGAAAGAAGCACACGGTTGCCTAGCGGAGTTAATGATGACCGGGAAGCCGAAAGAGTTGTTGGCGCAAGGATTGCTTCCTCAGAGACAGCACGAGCGCTCTAAAGAGCAGGAGAAAATAGAAAAGCAGCGACAAATGCCATTCCACATGCATATAAATTTGGAGTTGCTGGAGTGCGTGTACCTCGTGTCGGCGATGTTGATCGAGATACCTTACATGGCGGCGCACGAGTTCGACGCCCGGCGGCGCATGATCAGTAAGACGTTCTACCAGAATCTGCGCGCGAGCGAGAGGCAGGCGCTGGTGGGGCCGCCCGAGTCGATGCGAGAGCACGCGGTCGCCGCCGCGCGGGCCATGCGTCGCGGTGACTGGCGCGCTTGCCTCAACTTCATTGTCAATGACAAAATGAATGCTAAGGTAACTTTCTATTATAACTGTCATGTTTATTTATTCATAAGCCTAATTTGCTGACAATTTCATATTTTACCATAACTTTTTTTTCACATGTGTCACCTCTAACCCTTTCCATTTGTTTCTATAACTGTCTTATGGACTTTGGCTAAAAAGTGTAAAATTTAAACTATTACATATAAACACACTTCTTTAAAATTGGAATTCTGCAAAATCCCAATATTGTTAAAGAAATGAATCAAAAATAGCGACGTTTGATGATGTTCCTCTCGCACATACATCCTGTCAGCTCAGGACTCATGTGTGTTAGGGACTGAATGTCTTGATCATTATCGTTTCATTAATATTCCTACTTAGTTACTTAGATTAAATCAAAAAGGGAAGATTCAGCACTCGTGTCTCAAAATTGCGAACAATGATAAAACAATGCTTTTAAAAAGTGTACCTCTAATACTTCAAAAATAAATAAATAATTCATAGCACCACTTTTCCTTTGTAAAATTATAAAAATGGCTTTTTCTCAAAAATCACGGTTTGCTATGAATGTTATTCGCTTACATTCGTCATTTGGTATCAAGAAAAAGGACAACAATGCAGCTCAACCGTCTGTAGAGAGAAAAGAAAACGCAGTCGGTTGCTAAGCGACGTGGACTCGCCGTCGCGTTCGCGTTGGGTTGAACAGTATCGTTTTGTTTCGATCGCTCGATTGCATGTTAATTTATAGGTGTGCGTTTGTGAGAGTTTCTTATGTAGTTGAATAGAGCATTTTTGATTTAGAGCGTACCGTACCTATCTTCCACTTTTAATTTAATCTAAGCGTAGTAATCATAAATTGAAAAACTTGTTTTCCTGCAGCTAGTTAATTTCATTATGGCACTTGTCGAATAAACAAATTAACTTGCAGGTGTGGGACCTAATGGTCGGCGCCGACAACGTACGCGCCATGCTCGGCCGTCTGATCCGCGAGGAATCACTGCGAACCTACTTATTCACTTACGCGCATGTTTACGCGTCGCTATCTCTCAAATCTCTCGCTGATATGTTTGAAATGCCTCGCCAGCGAGTTCACTCGCTCGTCTCCAAGATGATCATCAACGAAGAATTGCTCGCGTCTTTAGATGACCCCAGCGAATGCGCGATCTTGCACCGTTCTGAACCTACGAGGATGCAGGCGTTGGCGCTACAGCTTGCGGACAAAGTAAGTTCCATCGCCACTTGATAACCTAATTTTAACTTCTTCATCGTCATCACCAGCCTATGAATTTTCCCACTGCAACACAGGCCTTCCCTATGGAGGGAATAGGGAGAGGTAACCCACCCCGCGCGCCCATTGGTGGGTGCTAACTGCAAACTGCAGATGCAGCCGGAACCAAAGGCTTAACGTGCCTTCCGAAGCACGGAGGAGCTCGAGATAATAATCTTCTGGTCACCCATCCAATGACTGACCATGACGAAAGTTGCTTAACTTTCACGACTGCAGACCGAATGCACCGCCTACACTATCGAGTTCCTCCTCTACATAACTATCAACTTACCTTCTTATCTATTTTTTTTTTACTTGGTGAAATGCGTAACGCACGCTGCTGGGTAAAGGGTTATGTGGGACTCCTTCCCCCATCACAGATGGCTCAATCACCCCAAGAGGCTGGCTCGATTTCAGTTCGTTCGTTCAGGAAGGGAGGTCCTACCCATTTAAATACCGGGTTGTGTCCTCCCTACCGGTTATGACGGCATGGGTCCTTATTGGGAATCAACCTCACTTAACCATGCATATTTTAACAATCAGAGGAATTTTTGTAGCAGTCTTAATTTACCATACTTCAATCGTTTTTTGTTTCTTAGTTTATGAATGTGATGAACTTTGTGCAGTACGTCAGATTTCAAGGTGTCGCCTATACAGAGGTCCCGGGTTCGAAACCCGGTGGGCCAAATGTTTGTGTGATGAATACAAACATTTGTACTTAAATCATGGATGTTTATATGTATTTCTAAACAATATATATATAGTATATGTATTTTATTTGCTATCCTAGTATCCCATAACACAAGCCTTACAGCGCTTACTTTGGGGCTAGGATAATTGATGTGTGTGTTATACCAACTCCACTTGGTTATTCATGTTTGCTATTTGTAAAACTTGACATCAGTATGTTCTTTTCATTTCTGATAAAGCATGCCAGTGGCATACTGTTGTCAAGTTTACAAATAGCAAATACGAATAGTCAACTGAAGTGCGTGCATTAGAAATATTTATGTCTGTAAAATTACCAGAAAAAAAAATAATGACAACAGTAACTAACCGAAAACGGACTCCCTACTATTTTGAGTATCTTCTCTAATATATATCTGAAGTCATTTTTCAACTTGACGACTCTATATATAACAATACAGCGAGAAAAAACAGCCCTTACTGATTTTCTTGCCGGTTCCTCTCAGTACAAAGTCGCCCGCCGTAGTCTCGCGAACCGATGGCGTAGCTTCTTGACAAGACACAAGTGCTTGTAACAGCCTAGGCTGAATAAATGATTTTTGATGTGTAACATCTTTCCTCTCGCTTTCCTGCAATTTGTGGGAGTGATTTCGTGAAATGGGACAGAAGTGTGTAACAGGAAGTTTGGGAAGCGAGCGCTATTTGATTTGATTTTAGAACATAATGTTCAAATGGCTTATCCTTTTGTAGTAGGTTTTATTTCTTTTTTTACTAATATAAGGTGAGGTTTCAAATGTTACATACACATCATACGCGACTACTGTAAGGCTCGCTCGTTTTTTTTTATTTTGATTATAAATATATTTATATTTCGACCAGGTCGGCAACTTGGTGGATTCCAACGAGCGTATATTCGAGAAGCAGGGCTCGTTCTTCCAGCGTGGAGGCGCGGGTCGCGGCGAAGGACGGCAGCGCGAGCAACGCCGCGAGGGGGGCTGGAACCGGCGCACGCGCAACCGGCGCCGCGACGACGAGCGCAGCCACGACGACTGAGCACATCCGAAGACTCGATGACACGGGACGAGTCTACAACCAAGGAACTTATATACTAACTGGAATGCTTACGAAACAATATGGGAATTCAAAAAATGGACTCTAACTAGTTAAACATAAAATCCATTTTTGTTTCTACCTTCATAAGGGGGAAAAATACTCCTAGCGAGTTCGATACTCGAACGACGAAAGTGGAATCTGTCCCTCTCTTGCAACTGTTTGGGCACACTACTAGAACGAGACAGATTCCACCAAATCAGCTATGCTCTTAGAACGATTTTGAGAGTGGCGTAAGCATTCCAGTTAGTATATAAGTTCCTTGTCTACAACATAGAGGTATAGGAATAGAGTGGGGAAGGCGGCTCTAAAAGTGTCGCGTCTAGTAGAAAGAGAAAGAAGATGAGAGACCGCTAGCTATCTCTCTCTCTCTCTCTCTCTCTTGTGACGCATGCGCAGTCGTGTATCCAATAGTTGGTCCAAGCATCACATCGAAATAGTAAGATGCTTACTTTTGTTTGCCAATGCGCATGCCCGATTAGAGAGAAAGCTAGCGGTCTCTCATCTTCTTTCTCTTTCTATTAGAGGGACACTTCCACTTGTAGTAGAGTCTATAAATAATAATAAATTCTTATACCTCTATGTTGTAAACTCTCCCCTGTCATCGAGTAACAGAATGTAAAAAGCTGATGACATGGGGCGAGTTACAAGCTGTTAGCGAACTCGCTGAATTGTAGCTTGTAAACTCTCTCCGTGTCATCGAGGCTTTACAATCATCCGATACACGGACAACACGAATGAAACAGACCTGAGACTAAAAAATCGGGTCTCCTTTTTTTTTCTCAAAGTGCTTTTTAAGGCTGATTTAAGAAGTGTGAGTAAGTACAGTATGTATTTAACTGCCAAATCCAAACGATGATAAGAATTTAACTCGCCAAGACCTTAAGTTAATTCACTATTGTACTTACCGACGTGTAAATCAGCCTTTATTAAGGACAATTGGTATCAAAATTAGAAATCACTTTTTTTTTAGTTGGGTCACTTTTATTCTAAGGCAATTCATTTTCAACTTTGGAAGCAAATGTTAAAGATGGTAATAGGTAGAGAATTTTGACAGTTTTGTATAGTCTTAAGAGCTTTAGTTGTGTTCAAATATGATGCGTTGAACTGCCGCGCTCAACATCAGAGGGCGTACTTAAAAGCGAAATTCAATTTATTTTGAACTTCGTCGGGTCGTGTCCTACTCTACGCTATTATAGAATAGATAAGTTAAAGTACGGTGGACGCCCATGACGATCATGGAATGTCAAAAGTCGAACTTTAAGACTAAGCCTTGAGAGACTTAGGTTCGCCGCTTCTATTTGGACACACAGGTACGCTCCGTTTTTTCAATACTTGTCCACCTGCTCCGCGCATCTTCGTGATGTTTTCATATTAAATTATATAAAAAATATAACATTCATAAAAACAAAGTTTGTTTAATTTAAACGTCAATTATTTTCGTTTGGAATAATGTCAGTTCGAGATTAGAAGAGATAAAAAAAAACTAGGTGATGAGTGAATGTATTTATCGTGTCATAAATATTATCACTATAGATTTATGGCCCAGCCCAGCCAGTGACGCATGGAAGGTTCGAGTAGGACGAATAACATATATCTATGGCAAGTAAGAGTATATGTTTATGCCCAAAATATTATGTTCCAACATTAATTATAACCAACTTATGGATAATTCGAGGCTCTTTGTATTATTAATTATGTAAAATTTGTTAGGGGTGGCTGGAAAACAGCGTGGGTTCAGGTCCAAGCTGGACCAACATTGGCTGAGCCATTCCCTATTGTCTTATTAAAATAAATTCTTTTTAATGAAATATTATATAAATATCTGTTAGCATGCAAAAAAAGACAATAAATTATTATTTATATCTATGAATATCATTTTAATTTATTGATCAATTGTTTAGTACAGTACCACAGAATATATACACTTTGCGAAAAGAAGCGACACTTAAGCATGTGTGCTGGTAAAATCGCCCGCGGCTATGTGTGGGTGTCTGGAGGTGCGCGGGAGCGTTGCGCGGCGCGCGGGACGTGGAGAGGGCAGTCGCCGACTGCCTCGACCGAAGGGATGGCAGTAGCGAAATAGTAATAGCGTTGCACTGCATTGCACGCACAGACTGACTACGCTACGCAATCTAATTATTATTTAGATAATAATAAGAATTATAAAACGAATCGAAAAAGGAGAAAATATATAAAAGTTAGCAATTTGTTATAGTACCTACATTAAAAGATTAAAAATTGATTATAAAGTCAAACCTATCCTTCATTATTTACCCCAGTATCCTTGAATCAGTTTACATTTAATAACTTACTATGCATAAATATTCATTGGCACAATTCTAAATTCCAAGTTCAACCCTAGCGCATAGACGCTCCTGCTCAAGGTCACTGACGCTGGAACTCTCACGTACAGAGTGTCACCGCTGTGACAGTACGGAGTTCCTTGCAGTATTGTAAGTGAAATAAATTTCTTTAGTGTCAATGTCTTGCATACAGTGTGACCAGTACCCTTAGCACGAACTAATATCGAATTCGAATAGTCACCGAGTATAAAATGTCATTGGTGCCAATTCTGGCGTGATTCTCTAAACTTAAAACTAAATTTAACATCAGCCTCTCCTTTTCATTCTGTATAGAGAATGACAAGGATAAACTACTGTCAAATTTAAGTTTAGGTTTAGAGAATCATGCTAGAATCGACACCATTGTCAAATTTTGTATTGAAACTTGAACACATAATGGACGTAACGACAACTAAAGACCGCTGCATACGTGACGAGTAAATACTTCGGACGGGACGTGACCGGGACGGGCACGTGATTATCTCGTTCAAAACGGGAACGTGGTCCAAACGCATACGCACCGTGACAGTGATTCGGACCTAATGTGCTAGTGTTGATTTTATAATGATTGGAAATGTAATTTTATATTCTTGGATCAACGCGTCATTACAGATCTGGGGCCCAATTCTCGCGGCATAGATATTATATCACCTTCGATATATATCGAATGATCTGGCTTTTATCGAAGGAAAACCTTTTTGCCCTATTCTCACCATGTCGCAATAGATATTTATCTACGGATGATCAGTAGACATACATCGACTGGTAAAGAGCTTTCGATATATAAATATCTATGGATCTTGGCATGTCATTCTTGTTATTTCCACTTTTTTTACCTATTATTTGTTGTGTTGTCGTGAGTCATTGCCAATTATTGTTACCTCAAGATGTTGTTAACTGCCTTCATAAATAATTAGTAAATAAAGAAGTAGGTAAACAATGGTGTCGATTCTGGCGTGATTCTCTAAACTTCTTCTTTTTCTTTTTTTTATGGCATGCACGGTTTGTGCGTTCAGCTTCTCTAAACTTAATCCTAAATTTAACATCAGTCTCTCTTTTTCATTCTGTATAGAGAATGACAAGGAAACACTGTTGTCAAGTTTAAGTTTAGATTTAGAGAATCGTGCCAGAATCGACACCAGTTTATATTAACGATGGATGAGTTGATTCATGTTTTCGTCAATGATTTAGTAAATGACGTGATTGCTGCTGCTGTGCTAAGGCGCCGCCGTTGTGAGAGCAAGAGGGCCCATTTGAAATGAGGGGCGCCGACTTCATAAAAAAATTACGTTTAAACAAAAATTTGGTTATAAATCTATAAAGTTATGAATGACATTGGTATCGATTCTGACATGATTCTCTAAACTTAAAACTAAATTTAACATCAGTCTCTCCTTTTCATTCTGTATGGAGAATGACAAGGATACACTGTTGTCAAATTTACGTTTAGGTTTAGAGAATCATGCCAGAATCGACACCATTTTCTTATTGACGATACGGAGTTTTTGGCGGGATTTCTGCGAGTGCGGTTGGCGTCTTATTTTAATTATTCTAAAATTCGTTCATAGTGGCTATTGTGAAATAAAATTGGTGTGATTTGGTGTTACAACCCTCTGCGCAACTGAAGAATTAGTGGAATCTTTAATATATACGCTATTCCGGTCAAGTGGACGCGAGAATTTTATTGTAGTGTTGACTACCTCACAGAAGCTTAGAGAAAAAGCCAACTCCATAAATTTCGTGCCAAACACTCCAAGAAACATTAGAATGCGTCACACCGACATTCTAATGTAAAAAAAGAAGATTAATATAACTAAAGACTAGGCTGTATGGGCATTATTCCCTTTGCCTTCCCTAAAAAGGGAGAATCTTAAATAATATTGACGTTTCATTATACATAACGTTGAAATTATACACGCATACAATTTAGGTAAAGTTGAGATTTCTTATACTCAAAAAATGTATACTCATATTTAATATGAATGGAATTCATAAAATATCATTTTGTTGCTTGTAAAATTCTGCTCTAATTTATTATTATTTTATATAGACTATGATGTTAACTTAATCGAGAAAAACGGAACGCATTCGGCAGTGACAGAATATCTACGATAGATATAATATCATTGGAATATCGAAAATCCACGAGAATAGCATTTTTTACCATCAGTAGATATTTTCAATAGATATCCCTCCTTTCGATATTATCTCGAAGCCGATATAATATCTACGCCGCGAGAATTGGGCCCCTGTTCGGAATTCGGAATGAACAGAACAGAGCGACTGTGCTATGCATACGTAGCGAAACCACGAGCAGGACGGGGCACGCGCAGGGCGTAACGGGACGGAGACGTGCTAAACATCGTCCGCGACGATATTTTTCCCGTCCATGTACCCGTGACATATGCGTTTTAGGATAGGTACATTGTGTATGAAACGATGTTTCCAAAACTGCCCGTCCCGTCCCGTCCGAATAAAAACTCATCACGTATGCAGCGGCCTTTAAAATCAGTACACGTTTAACATATAAAGTAGATTAAATTCGAATTCGATATAGGTTCGTGCTGAAGGAACTGATGGCTCGATTACACTTAATCGTTAGTCCGAATACGATTGGGTAAGCGACTAAGTGTACATGAACGGGGTCGAGTACGCCCGTATTCGGGTAGTATTTGTTATAGTACCCGACACCGTATTCCAGTGACAAAAAAGGTCCCTCGGCGCTAAGAGCATATTATTTCTGTCTGCGCAGGACATGACTTTAATTTTTTGTTGCAAAGGGGTAATGTGCTATCGTTCTTTAACACTTATTCGTCTTATTTTGACGGTAACAGTAAAAATCAGAAAATCTTTCTTTCGGTTCAAAATTAAAAATTATTTATTCAGTCTAAGCAGTTACAAACACTTGTGAAGGTCAAGAAGCTATGCCACTTTTTTTGGGTAACTGTCCTGTCTAAATAGTACGTCTATGACTTACTAAAATTTCCTGCTAGCCTGCCATTGGAATTCTAATGGTAGTTCATTTTATGTTGTTATTTAAACTGCGATGACCACTATTACAACAGGCTGTATGTCTCATTCTTTAAACATACCAGTAAAAAAAATCATAGAGAAATCTAAATCTGTCTGTGAGATGCGTGACACGAAACGCAAATTGTAATGGTGGACGTCCGTCATATTTTGCAGGAGTACATCAGTTGTTCAGAGCCAGACATTTTACTAGTAAATCTTGTAAATTTGTAATTGTGCAGCGTAATTATGTTGTGCGTGTGGTTAGCTAAATAATACAATAACATTTGAGAAAGTCGCATTTAAGTCTTTCGATTAATTGACAGAATTATTTACAATGGCTGCGACAAGGAGACTTCAAAAGGTGAGAATTCGCTTGTCGTTTCTATTTCTAGATTTTTTCCCGTTACTCCCCCGAAAAACTTGAATGAACTTAGCTTATTCTGTATCTGGTTGTTTTGTGATTTAGTGTATTTTATGTCACATTTCGTATACTTAAATTACATATAATTTAATTTTGGCTTTTATTGGAATATGAAAATAAGATGCACCGCTTCTGATTATTGCTTTGCATGTTCTTTAAAATTCTAGGTAATATTTATCATTCATATATCAAATTATATTGTGATATTCTGTACAAATACGTTTTCTACATCCAATACTGATATGTGACATCACAATGAATCATTCAAACTATAATCAGTAATTACCTACCTACCAACTTTCTACATGGTTCTTTTCCAACTGGTTAAGGTGTTAAGACAATTTTACATAACTTAAACTAAAAACTTAAACACTACAAAATCACAACCAAAAACTTTTACCTCATATGTGTGGGCCACAATCAACTTCCAGGAAAGGACACAATAATAAAAGAAAGATTACAAATAGTAGCTTTTATTATAGTGTTTTGGTAAATTCATAAATTATGTACAATTCTTTGCCTAATTTCTTTACAGGAATTAAATGACATAAGACAGTCAGGGCTGAAATCCTTTAGGGATATCCAAGTTGATGAATCTAACATCCTTACATGGCAAGGACTTATTGTCCCTGTAAGTAATGAACTTGAAATTATTTTCTGTTTAATTAAATGGATGTTAACTAAGAGTATACACATTTTTAAGGAGCTAATATGTAAAATCTCATTTCATAGGATAACCCACCATACAACAAGGGTGCATTTCGGATTGAAATTAACTTCCCAGCAGAATACCCTTTCAAGCCACCCAAAATTAGTTTTAAAACAAAGATATATCATCCCAATATTGATGAAAAGGGCCAGGTGTGCTTACCAATAATAAGTGCTGAAAACTGGAAACCTGCAACCAAGACTGATCAAGGTAAATTAAAAACAAATATCTTAACTAAGATGCCATATAATAAGTTTAGAGAATCATGTCTATCTGACATAATTTAAAACTAAATTTAACATCAGTTTATCCTTTTCATTCTGTATAGACAAGGAGACGCTGTTGTCAAAATTTAGTTTAATTTTGGAGAATCATGCCAGAATTGACACCAATTAATGGACCACTTTGGTGGCACAGAAACCTTGTGTATTTCTTTCTTTTTTTCCCAAACTCCATAAGATACAGTTAAGACCATATCTGCTCTGTAATAAAGATGTTAATGTCAAAGGAGAATTTTTGCCCAATTTTGTACCTTTGTACAAATTATATTAAAAAAACATCTAAAATCTTTATATGTCTAATTAGGATACTTAGATTTGATGTAGATTGTATGTATGAATGTGACTATTTATTCCAAGCCATTTAGCGATAAGACCGCCAATTATAACGCTTTTGTTAATATTATTGTTTGTGAATGTTACGTAATTATGTATTTGGTGTTATAATAAAGTGTTAATCTATCTAAAATAATATCATACTTGAGGTACAAAATTGGGCAAAGTTGTATGGAGAAAAGAATGGATCCTTTATTGTCTCCAATATACCCTCGATTGCATATACATATGGTATGTAAACATATTATTCATATTGATTTCAGTGATCCAAGCACTAGTTGCCCTTGTGAATGACCCAGAACCAGAGCACCCATTACGTGCAGAACTTGCTGAAGAATATCTGAAGGATAGAAAGAAGTTTACAAAAAATGCAGAAGAATTCACTAAAAAACACAGTGAAAAGCGACCCACAGACTAAATCATCAACTATGTGAATTTACTAAACCATGGGTTTACAGCAATGAATTTTATTCTTTAAAAACATCTTAATAATGCAATTATGATTATACTTACAGGGTTAAATTTGAATTTATACTGTTTTTTTATTTGCATTTAATATTAAGTTATAAGTTAAACCAGTCATCATAGGTTTCATACCCTAATCTTAAGAAGTCCAATACTTTAGTCATTGCTGTATATCCAGGTTATTTACCTCTTCACTGATGTCTGCTATCGCTTATCATTGTCACCATATTGCTTGCGGAAACTGAGCACTCTTTAAGACTAAATTAGGTAATAGTGATTGGAAGTTGAAGAAGGTTGAGGAATGCTTTGAAATTAATGCTTAGTTTTGTAATTAGATTTTTGGAATTGTCAAATAAATTGGGTATCTATTGTTAAAATATATATTGTAGGGTTCTTTATTGGTTCTAAAATAATTTTCACCTCAAAGGTAGTCAGTCATAAAATTGTTTTATCTGTATTACATCTTGTTTAATAATTTATAGAATTGGTATACATACGCTCTATATTAATATTATATATTCAAGCAGGTTTGGGACATTTTTGTTTTTTTATTATTGTCATTTCAATGAGTCTAAGAGCTGACTTTGAATTTAAATCAGAATAGCACTACCTGCAGATTATGAATGTATGGGTGTAATATAAAATAACAATTTCTGAGTATTATTATTTAATGCCCTTTAAACACGTGTTACTTGGTAACCTACCTACAATATGCTGAACAATTCAGTGATAAAACTTTAAATATATATTTTTTTCGAAACAGTTGACTTTTTATTTGAAATGGATAGGTACTCTAAACTTCCAAATAAGATTTATTTATATAATTAATCTTTATAAATTTAAGTTTAACAAAGTAAAAAACGAGCACATTGCTTAATTTTTTTCTGGCTTATAAAAAGTTCAAAATAAAAAAAGAGCTTCCTCTGCTGGGTTCAAACCCAAGCCAAGCATAGTACAGGTCGCAGCACGTAACTCTAGCGCTGAACAAAACGCGGAGGGGATAGCTAGCTGCGCATGGATACGACTGGAGAACCAATCGGCGCAACGCACGCCCCACCCGCGCACCTCGTTTCCAAGACATCTAATTTTTACTTATGCACAATAACGGTCAACACTAGTTTTGTACCGCGACTTTAAGCGAACTTTCTACCACTACTGATGCTTCTTATGATTTTTTTAAATATCGATTAAAAATATGAATGATGTTAAAGTTCATTTTCTATGAGAACTATTATGGGTACGCCAGCTAAGAATGTTTAGTTCAATATCTTTGGTCCTTTAAGAGTATTGATTATGAAATTTTGTAAAGCCAGGGCACTATTTGCGAACTATTTTTGTGTGTCAATTTTGTTGCTTAAATATATACCGTTCTTGGGGTCGGCCATGGGTACGCTAGCTTGACGTCATGGTAGCGTACACAGTAAAAATGGTATTTATTTCTTAAATTAAAGAGGCACTATTTTTATTATTTTTACACTAATTTGGCACTATTTACGCACTATTTAATGGCATAACGAAAAACCGTATATTGATCGTGGGTACGCTAGCATCACGGACACGGTCAGCTCAGTCCGCGCCACGCGCTTTTTAGTGATGGAGTATTCACTAGAACGAACGTTCTGAACTGACTACCTCTGCCCGTCGTGTGCTTTGTGTACGCGGCGCGGGCAGACGCGGTTTTTATTGCTTCGCGGACAAAATGCCCACCCCGCCCCGTCGTCTGCAAAACGCCTTAGGCGCTAAGCAGTCCATACTAAAAAGCGCGTGGCGAGGACTGAGCTGACCGCCCCGCGCCGCCGGCGCCGTCTGCGTTACTGCATATAAACTGGTTTGTATGATCCACGGCGGGCAGCCGCGGACATGCCGCGCCGCCACTGCCCGCCGGGCATCTGCGGCGCGGTCTTTTTGCCCTCTGTATGCGTTTGAAGTATAGGATTCACTTTGTGCTATTATTCGCGGCGAAATTGACCGGCCCGCCCCGCCCCGTCGTCTGCTAAACGCCTTAGCGTTATTATAATTTTTATTTTTTAAGCATGTAACTGCTTGATGTTTAAACCTAAAGAAAATATAATTTCGATGCGGCCATCAGGGCCACGGTAGCATAATTGGTCAGTGCATTTGCCCTAAGGATTGCGTAGGGTGCGGGTTCGAGTCCCGTCTGCTGCCTGGTCCGCGTGGATTTTTACCTAGTTATATTTTCTTTAGATTTAAACATCGTAGCGTGAGGCTAGAACTTCTCATGGCTATGCTGTATTTGACAGTATTATATCCCACGGAGCAAAAACAATTAAAAGGAGCTGCTGTATTCAATGCGGCCATGGAAGTCAGGAATGTTACACAGCCGTCGCTCAATAGTTCTAGCCACTCGGCACTATAGTGCAAGAAATCACTAGCGTCAGCACTAGAGGCGTTGCCGTCAATACGTTTGTATTTATTTGTATGTGAACGCAAAAAAAAACTGTACCCTTTTGTATCCTGCGCTTGTTCCCAGTCGCCATCACTGGCTTCGTTCCGTTTCGACTGGGGACAAACGGCACTTCAGGTCATAAACAATAAGTGTACCAAATTTCATCCATCAGTACCACTAGTACGAACCATAATCGAATTCGAATAGTTTACAAACCGAAATGCCAATGTCAAATTTTGTATGTAAGAACTAAAAATCAGTACACATTTGACAATGATATTTCGGACTCGCAAACGATACGAATTCGATATTGATTCGTGCTAGGGGTACTGTACCCTTAGTAGTTTTTGCAGTGGCGGGCGGGGCAAAACAGATTTCGCGAGGCCCTGTTCTGTGGCGACCTGAAGACGGATTTTATAAATTAATAAAAAAAAATCGCTTTTATGCAATGCATAAAAAAATTTCAGGCGCGAGGCTCCTTGTACCGCGAGGCCGTAGGCGGTGGCCCACGTCGTCCACGCCTAACGCCGCCTCTGAGTTTTTGCGTAATTGTGTAACAAATATAAACAGACAATCATAAAAACTTGCGTATAGGTAATATTAGTAGGATTGACACTTTGAAGACACTAGTTAAATAAAATATTAAAATTGACTTGTTTAATTTAATCCACAAAGTCATATACATCTGAATGTGTTGAAACAGCGTTTTCTTTCTTATGTACATTGTTTTTGAATATTTTTATAATACTCTCCGTTTCACAAACTCTATCACAGTTATGTTTGTGTCTTTCTTTATTAGTATCCTGTTTCTGCGCCTTTTCTTGAACAGGTGGCTCTACATCTATGTATTTATTCAAGTTTTCTGTGGACAACAAGTGATAGAGTTAAAATCAAAACCTTTATACAAATAAGGTTAATTATATTGTGACATTGACTTCAAATATTTCATTTTTATTTCACTTACCCTTTATAACACTTATACATTGATCTAAATACATTCTCTTATTACTATCTTTTATTAACATAGGTTCTACTGTTATAGTGTAATCAGGGCCATATTCAGTCCAGTATTCATGTTCTGGTATGTTTTCATCTAAAGAAACTCCTAAAACTTGAGCCGTTATTGTAGTCCACAGACGCGCGGTATTCGAAAATTTGTAACCACCTGAAATGTCAGTTGAATGTTAAAATCAGTAATCTTAATGTGGTCCTTCGAGCTAGATAACTTTTACAAGAAATATTTGCATAAATATATATATATATATATGTAATAACCTGCAATATTTTCATTAATTCGGTTTAAGTAAATAATCCTTATTGTAAGGCGGTTCTTTTCCTCGCTCTCTCTAACAGCTATATTGCTAACAGCGCATTCAGAATTACGATAAAGAGTCATAGAAATAAAGTCCATATTCTTCCGCCTATAGCAACAAGTCGTAAAATTTTACTAGCTTGCATTTCGAACTGTCAGACGCACCTTATATACCAGGGGTTGCTAACTTGATTAGAACCAAGATCTACTGTTTACTGACGAAACCATGTGCGATCTACCAAATGCATACTACTTGAAATCTTAAATGAAACTGTATAGTTCACTTCACAAATGAGTAACATTTTGTTATTTTACTAAGAAGGCAAACATAAAACTGAATATTCTTCATCATCATCATCATCATCAGCCTATTAATGTCCCCACTGCTGGGGCACAGGCCTTCCCTATGGATGGAATAGGGAGATTGGGCCATGACCCACCACGCGGGCCCAGTGCGGATTGGTGGGTGCTAACGACTGCAAATGCAGCCGGGACCAACGGCTTAACGTACCTTCCGAAGCACGGAGGAGCTCGAGATAGTAAATTTTTGGTCACCCATCCAATGACCGACCACTGCGGAAGTTGCTTAACTTCAACGATCGCAGCCGAACGCGCTAGCCACCTGCGCCATCGAGCTCCTCGAGCTCGATGGCGCATATTCCATCGAGAGAATATTCTTAGTCACTACATATTTATATTAGTGTGAGCTTGTGTTTGAGCATCTAACGCTATATTAACAAAATCAAAGGTTTGTTGTTGGAAGAATCCAATATATGAGTGTCTGTCAAGCGAGAACAGTGTTTATTTTATGTAGTAAAATGCCGACTCAATAAATATGTTGAACCAAAACAAAAATACAGTTGTTCAGCACATCTTGTAAAATTTGGATATTTCTCATTGGAAACAAATCCCCAGAAACCTGACCCCTCTAAAAACCCCTCTCTAAAGCTGGGGATGACCTTGCTTTTAGAAATATATCCCAGCTCTGAGTAATAATTTCGTTTTCAAATATCATGTGGTCCATTTAAACGTATCTACAAGTTTTGTAGCCATTTCATAGATATCACTTTTGAAGAGAGGATGAAGATGATGCGTGCAGCAGTTGTTGATTACGATGTGCAGTCTGTTCTACGTATTCATATTTTGATCTAAATACATCGATCGACTGAAAGAGTAGTCGCCATCTACTGGTTGTCCACCCCTGTTATATACTATGGTTTTTGAGTATGTATGCGATCATCTTACGGAGCTCCGTGGCTACGTTTTGTTTGTGATGTTGTTTCGGAACCGGATTTACGGTAGGGCAGGCGGGGCCCACAACACATGTCATAAAACCAGAGGGGGGGGGGGGAGGGGGGTTAATAAGGGGATTATAAAAAATACAAATAACCAAGTCAATTGCTAGCATAAGAATAAAATGAACTTACCCCCACCAAGGAGTAACAAAGGTTTTTGCATATCCAAAATTCTGGTAAGGCACAAGCTATAACCATGCGCAGTAAGATTCGCACCACCATTGGGATCATGAGCTAAACCATCCGCTCCGCATTGTACCACTGTAACATCTGGCTTAAATTTGGTAAATACTTCTGGAAATATCCTGGAAAATAATATTAGTGAAGTATGTTCACAAGGATAAAATTTGACCCAGAAATACTTACTTCTTTTTACTATATGCTAATATATTATTCAATAAAATATGACCTTGGAATCAGAATATTTAAAGAAGGAGAATAATATAATATATCTGGAGCAGTGAAGATAGTATTTGCTATTTCAAAGTGCAGTGCAGTGTTACACTACACAATGTCTAGTAGGTACTTATAGAATATAAACTTAGTGTACTTAAATACATACTGTCTAAAAACATATTCAATGGTTCCATCAGAATACCATGCTTGCAATGGAAAATTGCAGCTGTAACCCTTGCCAGTCAAAACACCAATATCTTCTAGGCCTCCGGTTCCTGGGTAAAAACCTGGCTCAAATTTGTGAAATGACAAAGTGAAAACTGACTTGCTTAAATTGTATGCATCTTGGACACCATTACCTAGAACATAAATATAAGATCCCAATAATATAAGCACTTAATACTTCATTATTATGGAAAATAAATAAAGCACAATTAAAATTAAATAGGAACAATTATAGAAGTTTATAACTTTGAAAAAATAAAACATAAAGACCTTTAATAAAATAAAGCAAAAATATGATTACAGGAGTTTGAAAATAAAAAATTACCATGATGTACATCTAGGTCTATATAAAGCACTCTGTTAAATTTTTGCCTCAATGTTTCAATGGCCAATACTATATCATTAACATAACAAAATCCATCTGCGCCAAACCTAAAAGTGTAAAAAGTAACAAAAATATACAAAAATTCAAAGGTGACAAGGATTGCCTTGTACATACCCGAACTTATGAAATAAAATTGAGTTATAAAACAGAAAAAATATTTTATTAAATTGTAATAATAATTGGGTCTCCTGTGCCAATTTTTAACAAAAAATGTTATCAAAATGAGTTTTATCCAATCGCTGTTAGCAAAACTGATAGGACACTCTCCTAGTTGGTTAGCAAACAATGTTATTGTGTTAGAAAACACAGCACAAGGCTTAACTTCAATGTGTTGGGAGTAACACAACTTACTTATATATACAACTTGCCTTTGTGCATGATGCCAGCCTCCACACCAGTTGATAGCAATATCAGCAGAGCCAGATACTAGACACTTGGCTGCTGTTATAGACCCTCCTGCTACTGTGGATACAAGTTGAAACATATCCGAAACTGGTGGACAGTCATATCCTGAAGTTGAGGAATTGTTAATTATGATTTAGGTAATACATTATATCTTTAGTGGTTTACTTCATAGTTTTTTGTAGTATCTGAAATTAGGATCCCTTATAATTTTGAGACTCATTTCCTTAATGCTAATAGTTTTCTTTTTTGAGTCCATGACTGTTTCCTGCCACTAACCACAGAGGGTTATTTAGCAGAAGTGTGTATGGCCTGAAGGTAAAGTAAAGATGCCTGTTGTAGGTTAGTGCTGCACCTATCTAGTGTCTGGTCTATACCTTCACTTAACATAAGCTGGGAATAGTGTATTATACCTATTAATAATAGAAATTCCAAAAAAAATGTAATGAATTAAACTTGTATATTACCCATGCCATATTCTTCGTCTTCTTCGTTAGTCATATAATCATCATCGATTTCTTTGATTGACATCACGTAATCAATGTATAAATCGGAGTGAAACTTCCGAAGATCATCATAAGTAGCACATATGGGTCGCAGCACATTTAAGTATTTTGTAAGCCCATACGAAATAATTAACTCGTGTACCATGGAAGCCTAAAATTTCTGAAGCATTTAGAATTCGAAAGCAGTTAATACCATGGGAAGTTAATTACATCAGATATTTTAAATTGAAATACTGACTCTTCCTGACACAGCCGGTAGGCGATTACATTGAAATAACAAATTATCATCGCTTACATAAATAATTCTTTTAGAATTCATTATTTCATGAATTCGCATCATCAAATCATCATCGTGAACTTGTCGTAAATAAATTCACATAACTAAGATTATGTTTAAATTAAATTGCTTGCTGAAAAAGACAAACAAAACAAAGTTTTGCCAAGCCAATGGAGCTGATTTATACACACGCTGTATTCCGTAATATATACCAGTAAACAAACTGGCCAGTGCTAATGACGTCATGAATCAACACTATACAGGTGAATTGTTCCGAAATATACTGGCCAGTGCATTGACGTCATAAATCGAAATATTAAAAATGATGCGAATAAAGAAGATTTTTATTCAGCTCATCAATTAAAAGGAATTATTTTTGATCGGATGCCATTGCTATATTCTTTAAATAAAAATGAAATAAAATTTGAATGCATCTCACGCACGCTCGGTCATACGTCATATTCGTTTTCCCGGTAAAAATATGGTAGCATACCAGTACGATATGGCGCCAGATTCGTGACGTCATTACCACTGGCCAGTATACTGATGTATATTTCGGAATACACCCACAGACTACTCAATAAAAAAAAGAATTTTTGGCCGGATTTTATCAAGTGCGGTTGGCGCCATAATTTAATTATTCTTAAATTCGTTCACAGTGGATATTGGAGAAAAAAATATTGGTGTGATTTTGTGTTACCACCGCCTGCGTAACTGAAGAATTAGTGGAATCGTTAAAATATACGCTATTCCGGTCAAGTGAACCTGAAACTGAGTGCACTCTGGCCGTACCCTAACGATACGAGTAAATAAATACAAGTAACTACTCGATACTTTTCATACGATACCAAGTACTTTTGGAATCGATCCTTTAGAACTGAGTAAAAAGTAGTATCGTGAAGAAAGTAATTGCATCGGTATTCAGTCGGTCACTCACTGAGAAGAATAAAAAAAATCGTCAATCAATGGTTTGAATTTTTGTTGCGCGAACGCATCTTTTCTACTGCTCAGTTTGCAGCCTTGATTTATATTCTATTAGTTCGTTCATCGCATTGCGTGAACCGTTATTTTGTTTCCTTTAGAACTATGACTGAATTTGTAATTGTAATATCGTTCGTCAAAAATAACGATACAAGTAAGTACCGATACTTTTCATTTGATACCAAGTAGGAATCGATTTTGACGTGACAACGTCTTAAATTAGGTTGCGGCTGGGAGTCACTTATGAAAAAGTGTAACGCTCGGTAACGTTACGATGAGTCTCTCGTGTTAAGTTTAAGTTTACATGTACAATGTTTTAGTAAACAAAATATATTTCTATAGTTAAAATTTGTGCAATTCTTATTTTCATTCAATTCCTTGTTCCTATTGTGCAATTTAATTATATTCATATCAATAAATATTCTACCGAGAAAAAGACGTTGTCACGTAAAATCTTCGCCCGTAAAACCGACTTTACAGGCAACCATTTTTTTATTACTGATACAGTGGTGTCGATTCTAGCATGATTCTCTAAACCTAAACTTAAATTTGACAGCAGTATAACTTTGTCATTCTCCATACAGAATGAAAAGGAGAGACTGATGTTAAATTTAGTTTTAAGTATAGAGAATCACGCTAGAATTGGCACCAGGATCGATACCTACATGGTATCGTTTCATTCTTATTGACAACAGCAGTCTCTCCTTAATCTGTCTGTATAGAGCACGAGAAGGATACATGCCTAATTTCATGCCGGCACTTCACTTGGCTATTTGTGTTTACTATTTTTCACTCATAAAACGTGTTAGGTTTAAAAGCAATACGGTGTACGAGAGCAAAGTGCGGAGAGGGCCTTATAGGCAAGCGAGTGGCTATTGGTTAAAATGCAAAACAAGATTAAATTGTCATTGGTCATTTCTCTTCCCGGGAACCCAATGGGATGAAAGTTCCTATGAAAAACAAGCGTCCATTTTCTGTATTGAAGTCGCGTTAATTTACTAATCAATCTTGACATTTGTTGCAAGTGCATTATGATGTTATGTGGAATTTAGAACGTTTTTACAGTTTAAATATTAGTTATCTAATAATGAATGTTACTTTGAATTTTTAAATAAATAGTCCTGTTAAATTAAAGATGTATCACTCGTGACATAGAACGGAAACAATCACATGATATTATTTCATGATCTCTAGCTACTAAATATACGACAAGGTCTGTTACAAAACATTGGTAACACGAGCTTATCTTATTCAATCAAGTCTATTGTCGGCGAATAACATTCCAATGGTGTTTTGTGTTTTACCAACGCTGTGAGTTAACGTTGCAATGGTTCGAGGTTAGTATTTGGCGTTTTATACAATACTCTCATGTCTATAGATTTTCCAAACGATCCTTTGTTCCTTTTATATGATTTCCTTTGAAAATAAGTTATCTTCTAAATTCGTAAGTACCAATCGACTTTTGAAACATACAGAATCACGTACGAAGTTGTAGGTAGATATGCTTTTAAAATATATCATGCATGCATGATTATGATTACGGAAAATCGTTGCTACCGTTTATATGGTGAATGTTATAGTAAAATTATGCATATAGTAATGTGTACATTCTTATCATTATAAGTATTAATTTATATATTATTTTTATTTCTTATTACATCAGTTTTCTTACATAACATAAAATATCAAAAACAATAAAAGTTATTTAATTATATAAAAAATGACAGCTTAGGTTTTGATATCACTTGGGTTCTAATAAGAAAGATTTCTGAGAAACCCCTCTAAAGTTTGTTTTTGATTTTATTACATGAGATTAAATTGAGCTGTGATTTTCAGCCAATACTTTAATGGCAGGACAGGAGGGGGTGAAGACTCCACATCGCATTGAACTGTATGATGAGCATCAGCCTGTTAGGCCTACCCGTACCTATAGAAAACGCAGGTAACTGACTTGCGTGTGCGATTTTATTAAAAATAAACAGTATGACTCATTATGCAGGCTTAAGATAGAAAAACTAAATGAATTGATATTTCGAAAAAGTGCTAGTTCAATATTCAAGCTAGTGGGGTTTGGACAACATTTTGTAACAAATAGCAGTGTCTATTTGATTATTGGGTTAAGACTAGAAGCTCAAATTGCTGGTGGCAGTTACATTCTGTTAGTGAGATCTGTTGCATTGGGTACACAACAATACAAAAAAAATATACTACTTTAAAAACACCAACATCAATATGAAATATTCTGCATCAGCCAATACTTATTCTCACAAACCCAAAGAAATTCATTTTATAAAGTAAATAAATGATAGATTAACAATAGAGTACAAACCAAGTTTACCATATGAAATGAATTTGCAAAGGTTGCAATTTTTGTAAATATATTTTATAAATGAATATCCTTCTTTACTTGCATCTATGAAGGATGAAATTTAAACTTATGGATTATATTTGATATTAATAATAATGATGTCATATTGTCTTATAATGATCTCAATGTTTTATTTCTCAATAGCTGGATTAAAATACTTTGCTTTTATAGAATAAGTACTTAAAGGATAACAAGTTATACATTATTAATTTCCTAAGCTGAAATAGGTGCCTAGAATTTAATTGTTTTTACATTTAATGACTATTTAGTTCTATAAATGTTTACTGCTTCATTATAGTTCTCAAAATATTTATATATTTCTTTTCTATCTTAGTATTTATAAACTGCTTACTTTTCTGCTTTATTATAATATATTGATATGCCATTCATATGCAATAGTACAGGCAGTGAAAAATAAGAAGAAAAATATAATAGGCCATTTGAAAGTGTAAAAAAATTAATTCCCTCCTGGCATCTTTTTTAACATGAATATTGCCAATTTGGCACCAAATCTACTATTCGGGCAAAAAAAATAAATGGCACAGATTTAGGAACTTGCTTAATATACTTATTTGTACTGCTTACACTTTTGATGACATGACATGTTATTAACCAGAGAAAAGTTTCTGTGGCATATTGTGTAAATGACTTAATAATAACAGATTTTTTACTGACCTAAATTAAGAAATGCAAAATATTTAACTTAATATAAACTCGCAAATAATAACCCAATATGATTTTCAACATCTTTCAAGTACATTAATCCTGCCCAATAATAACATTTTCTGTTATTAGTAATTATTCTCTCATTAGTAACCTCATTATATTACTAGTTCTTGGAAAAATATCATTGTTCAGTCAATTATTATTATTCAGTCAACTTATTATGGGACTCATTATCCAGGAAGCATTAGCTAAAGATGTCAGGTTGAGTTGCTTCTTTGCCTTTCACTAAAAGCTCAGTATGTACGTGATCTGTTGACAAGTAAACTTACTGTTTTATTTATTTTCTGTAAAGGATTATTGCTGCAACACAACCGAAGACTGAAAATGTTTTGAAGACAGAGCCACCAACAAAGAAGATTGAACCAAGTTCTAAACCATTGAAGACCAGTAACGGTATTGCCAATAATATGACGAATGGTCATCTAGCGCGCTCAAGGGCAGCGCGTGCCGCCGCCAGAGCTACCGAAAGTCATAAACTAACAGAGTATTTCAAAGAAGAACTCAAGAGTCCTAAGGACGAAACGCCTCCCTCACCCCTGCACTTGGACAAGGCTGTGAATGTAGACACTAAAGTTGTGAATGGTAACAGCAACCACAAGCTCACTGAATACTTCCCTGTAAGGCGTAGTGTTAGGAAAACGTCCAAATGTGTTATGGCAGAGAAAATGCGAGTTTTGGAGAGAGCTGTAAGAGAACAGAGAGAAGACGGACTTCAAGTAAGTAAAATTGGTATTTATGTGTTTGATTCAAAAGTTTTTTAATTTTTCATGTCATTAATTTAGAATTGTGACTCCGAGAAGTAGCGTCTTAACCAAAACGAGAGTGGTAATGTGTGATAAAATAAATTTTCTTGCATCCATAAATATGTCATATTATTATCCACACACACAAACATGATTTCAGTATTACCATCATCATAATAAGTTTTTTTTTAAATTACTGCTTAACTTTGCTATTAGGTTAAGTTGACATTTCTATATTGACTATCTTAAAAAATAATCTCTTATTAATAAATTATACTTCTTACAAAAAATTTATAATTACAAATATCAATTTTTATTTTTTATGACAAATGCATTACATTTTCAATATAAGTAAGGAGTCGACGAGAGGGATGTTTATTACCTTATTTACCCTACCACAAAAAGAATTGACATGCATTCAATGCTAGTTAAAGAAAGAATGTCATGCAAAATTTGCCTAAACAAGGTTTGAAACTGTCTTAACTTTTTGTAATAAGACTGGGGGTAAGTTACTTTTTGGTAAAATACCTATAATGCCTTTCCACCCTCACCTTGAAGGCCTGATTCCCGTTTCCCTACACATACAGCTCCAGAAACATTCCCTAGAATATCTATACATATAATAAAATGGTAGCAAAGTCGAAACTGTATATTGAATATTTTTTTAAAAGAATACTTGGGGTGTGATCTACAGTTGATACTGAAGCCAAAAATATAGTTTTTAGAATTTTTGTGTTTGTCTGTATGTATGTCGGGCATAAACCCAAAAAGTACTGCATGGACTTACTTCAAATTTGGCACGAATATTATTAAGAAGTAGGGTCAACATATAGGCTACATATTATCACGCTTTCACCTACGGGGAACGAGCAGTGAACCTTTATGTCTAACTAACTCCACGCGTACGAAGTTGCGGGCGGCCGCTAGTATTTAAATGAACCCGTTTTGTTTGTTTTAGGTGGCATACTTTGAGGGTAAAGGCCGAGGTATTATCGCAACTCGTCCCTTCGGCCGCGGGCAGTTCGTCGTAGAGTACGCAGGCGAACTCGTCGGCGTCGCGGAAGCGAAACAGCGAGAGCGCCTCTACGCCCAGGACCCGACTGCTGGCTGTTATATGTACTACTTTCGACATGGAGATCAGCAGTATTGGTGAGTTAACTGTTTTTATTGCACTTTATTTTTTCTTAATCACAATTCTTCTTACGTACTTTATTATTTCTTATTCACACGAATAGCCAATTTAGCTATTTGTGAACTTGACATCAGTTTGTCCTATTAATTCCTCATAAAGCACAATAAACATAGACTCTTGTCAAGTTTACAAATAGCAAACACAACTAAAAAACGACATAAAAGAACTTGAACTTTTCTGTCCAGCATCGACGCAACAGCAGAGTCGGGTCGTCTCGGCCGTCTAGTAAACCATTCGCGTAACGGCAACCTGTCGACCAAAGCCGTGTGGGTGGACGGCCCCCGGCTAGTACTGTTGGCGGCTCACGACATCGCGCCAGGGGAAGAACTCACCTATGACTACGGTGACCGGTCCAAAGAGTCGCTGCAACACCACCCCTGGCTCGCGCTCTGACCTGGGTAAGAGATTCTAAGTGCTTTTGCAATTCCAGCTATTGTTTCTAACGACCAGTTCCAATAAATCTCCTATTGCGACCGGGGAAGAACTCACCTACGACTACGGTGACCGGTCCAAAGAGTCGCTACAACATCACCCCTGGCTCGCGCTCTGACTTGGGTAAGAGATTCTAAGTGCTTCTGCAATTCCAGCTATTGTTTCTAACGGCCAGTTCCAATAAATCTCCTGTTGCGTCCGAGGAAGAACTCTCCTACGACTACCATGACCGGTCCAAAGAGTCGCTGCAACACCACCCCTGGCTCGCGCTCTGACCTGGGTAAGAGATTCTAATTGCTTTTGCAATTTCAGCTATTGTTTCTAACGACCAGTTCCAAAAAATCTCCTGTTGCATCTGGGGAAGAACTCTCCTACGACTATCATGACCGGTCCAAAGAATCGCTGCATCACCACCCCTGGGTCGCGCTTTGATCTGGGTAAGAAATTCTAAGTGCTTTTGCAATAGCAGCTATTGTTTTCTAGCAGAGCCAGTTTAAATAATTAAACACTGTTAGAAAAAAAAATGCTAATAGGCTTCATATTAGCACTTTGGCGGCTAGTTTTTTTTTTATGTTATTTAGATTATAATATCTGGCTTTTAAGCATCTAGCGGTAGGTACAAAATAATATTACTTTGACAGCAAGTTTAGAAATTTGTGACGTTATTTTTTAATCAACCAATTATGGTTTCTACAGAAGGAGCAGACTATGGTAATAAATTAATGAGCCAATTTTCAGGAAACAGATTATATTTTCTATGTGGTTAATAATTTTTCGTACAACCTGTAGGTGTCTAAATTTTAGGCTTATTTTTACCGGTAAGGTTAGTGGCTGACTCAATAATAGGTATTATTGCTATTCTTTTACTGTTGTGTAAATCAATGAAATGATTGCTGTGTAACAGAAATAATAAAATTCATAAAGTGCCGAATTTATTAACCAACCTTTATTTTTTTCAGGTATGCATCCAAAAATATCAATTGGACTAATTATTTATTAATTTAGCTTAATTTATGAAGTTTGTTGTCAAATTTGTTTTAAGGACTAATGTGTATTGTATTGTTAAGTAGTGAGACAAGTGGCCTAACTGTAGTTTTGATATGAGAACTGTGTGGATGTTTTTGTATAATGAAAATACTGCCTTATGCCACTCTTAATATGGATAAAGATCAGAATGCGTATGAAGTCCTTGTTAAGGAAAGTTATCATAGGATATTCGCGACACTTCTATATCAAAGTTGTGTAAACTGTTATGATTATGGACCAAGAGGCCTTTGAAGAAGAGCTATTATAGAGCTTCTGTATCCCGCAGGTCAGTATCTGTACCGTATACGGAAATAAAAGTGTGACATTTGTGATAACTTAAATAGGCATTTAATGACAACAACGCTATGGTTTAAGTAATGCATGACGCCATTTAAATTATGTTGCCAAATGAAAAAAGAATTTTAGTAAAAAAAACAGTTGCTTTTTGACGATTTAACAAGTTATCTTATTGCTATGACTTGACAACTGTTAAAGAAATTTAAAGAAAGATTTACTAGAAAAAATCCACGCGGTCCAGGCAACAGACGGGACTCGAACCTGCACCCTCCGCTATACGTGGGATTTCTTCAAGTATATCTTAGGCTACTAGGTAGAGCTATCTGTTCCGCATTGTTGGTATATCTAGCATTTAAATGCTTAAAATAGAAATATAATTAATTAAAGAAACTATTTAGCTGGTTAATTTACAATGCCGGAAATTCAATACCCTAAATTTTCGATCTGAAATTGATCTTTGTTTTACATGTACAAATTCATGCTATGAATATCACGACACTCCTAGCAACGAATTATTTAACTTCATTCCTTTGGGATGACAAAAGTTAAGTGAAAGAAGTCTTATTTGACTGTAAACATAATTAACCTATATGGTTGAGGTAAAATGTCTCGCGAACAACAACTCGCAAATATTATAAGCCACTTTATGAAAGACCAAGCCAAATTGAGCATCAAAATGGCGGGACCTATCTTGCAAAACTGTTTTCGCGTCTGAATGTTAATACTCCACAAAAAAAAACAGACATTGCATATTCGTTAAACTCACGCCAATAAGAAACGAATCTCTAAAGATGACATAAATATTCTGTACCTCTCGCTCATGCTGTTGTAATTAATGTGCGAGAAAGACAGTATGTCTTGCGTTGTCATTTTCGTTTCGTTTTTTAATAGCACGATTTATACCTTCAATTACACTTGTGCTTGTTAAAGACATGATCACAGAACATAGAAAGAGGTGATCATAGACCGTTTGTATGGGAACCGATGTCGCCGGCTGGCCCCCACTACACCTCCACCTTATAGGTAATAGCTAATCAAAAGACACTACATCAAACAATCGAACCAATCAGCGCTCATACCCGAGAGCAACGACGCTGTCAGAGTTTGTGTTTTAGTCAAGTTATGAGCATTTGCTCACACATAACCGTGATGCGCCTGCCCCGCCCACAAGGCTCTCCTAACCTCTTTCTGTGTTCTGTGGACATAACAGTTAGATTGATCCCGCCTATGTGGTGTTCACGAGCCAGAGACGCTGATCACATGGTACAAACATTTAGCGTTTTAACGACAAGAAAATGTGTCTTTGAAGTAAACATTCAATCAGGAATCTTTAATCAAAGACACTTATCCTGATAACGACACCAACTCGAATAGTCTTAGTATTTATCGTTAGTATAATATTTTTAATTTCGAATGTTCGTTATCTTAATAATAAAGTATATAATATGAGGTTGTAAGACTTGCTCATGTGTGCAGTCTGAAGTTGATTGTTTACCATTTAAGGCGATATTTGCCTGCACACCATCTTGATACTTTAAAGAGCTCCCTCTCAATATGTAGATTGATCTCAAGTGATAATCTCCTTGTAAGTGTGAGACAACCAACTTCTTGTCTGTACCAGTGACAACATTTGGGCTTTCTAATATTATAAAAATTCATTTATTTATTAATAGTCAATTAAATTCTCATTATTACGTTTTCATAAATGACGCTGAGTAATTCATATATTATTTGCCCACCGGAACAAATTCGTCATTAGATTCACAGTCATTATTAGAAAAAAACTACATGAAATGGAACTATGATTTGGGAAAACCACCGTACATATTTTTTATTAATCCTATGTAATATTATATTTTGGAATTCTCAATACGTTTTAGGTCATATAGATATTTATAATCGAGTACATCTATTTGATTGAGGGCATGAAGGAAGATATGTTTGCAATTGAACTTCGAATACGATTGACGTCCATTATGATTCAGTTAGGTATAATGGAGTTCGGTAGGGCCCAGGTTTATAGATCTCTGTGCATTTCTATCGTTTGTTAAATCTGTTGGGACTTATCCTAGAAATTATAAGCGTATGTGTGATAGACTGAATCCCCGGGTCTACTAATGATGAGATGACATATAGGGAAAGATGTTGTGCGTTTTCCAGCAATGAGGGGTATTTACATGAGGCTCGATAAAACATTCTGATAAAGCTACATCTCAGTGAAGCAGTTATTGTTTTCAGTAACACAGGGCCAGGCAAATACAGATTGACTGAAAACGCACAGCAAATTTGCAATTTACGATTAAGAAATCATAATAATGCTAAGCGATTTTTACACTCTATCAGACTAGTTGACTAAGTAATATTAATGTAATTAGCTGTGGTCACCAAAATATAAATTAAATAATTTAGATAATATTAATTCTAATCTAAAGTGAAATGTTATTGTTTCCTACAATAATGCATTTTATCTATTTGCTTATATAAGCCGTTGGGTACAGATGACATTATAAAAAGTTAATAATAATATGTAAGTCAAACAAGAAAATTTATTACTAATCTTAATGAAATGGGACGACTTTCTTAGTTTTTTTTTATATTTTCTGCGCTTATTTCTCCAGGGTAGTTTTGGTATCGTAAACTAATGTAGGCGATATGCTGGAATCACTATGTTTTTCGTTCACACAGTAGAATAGCAGCTACCTAGTACCTAGCGTAACGGCCGCACGCGAATTGTGTTAATTTGGAAGTTCAGGGGTCTACTCTCTTTCTCCGAAACGAAATTTCGATAACGAAGTTCAAACTAAATTTAATTTCGTCAATTTAAGGTTATACTTAATTTGAACGATAATAATCTGTCAAATTTAAGCTTTCTTTGAGTAGGCTTAGAAAATCTACACCTCAATCTAAATTCCGACGACGAATATTATTATAATTAAAAACGACCTAGAAACATAGAAAGAAAAGTGCGAAGTTTCGATCGAACTTTAGTTTTTCGTTGAATTAGAGTAGGCCTCCAGATTCGCAGCTCGATTCTATTGAGCCGCACGCAACTCTTGAGTATATATTTTGTGGTCGAAGCATATCAGTGGGAGTGATATAGTATATATGTCGCAGCCATCTTGTTAGGTTAGCCAGCCTATTGCGACACCCAGGCCGTTGATGAAATGACGGCATAGGCCGACGTTGCACAACTTAGCGTACTTTTGGAAAAGATTCACTCAAAGGACATGTTATTTTTGGGTTAAGATATTTTTTTTATTATGCAAAAGATGTATATTTTTGATACTTTCATTAAAATATAATTTCTTCATCAACATCATCAAAGGCGCCCAATTGGTTGGCTAATCTAATCAAATGGCAGCGACATATACACTGGTGTCGATTCTGGCATTATTCTCGAAACCTAAAATTAAATTTGTCAACAGTGTATCCATGTCATTCTCTATACAGAATGATAAGGAGAGACTGATGTTAAATTTAGTTTTAAGTTTAGAGAATCATGCCAGATTCGACACCACTAATTGTATATATCTGTCTCATTCTGTCACATAAGGAGCTTTAATATGGCATGAAGCTATCTGTTATGCATATTTCTTCTTTTTTACATTTCTCTTTGTGGGATACATCGTGGGGTTATATTTTAAGGAACTTATTGCACGCTTTGCTTTCCTTAAAAAAGCAGCCCAGTATTCGTCCCGTTTTAGTATATAAAATAATAATATTTTAAAAAGCTAATATACTTAATAATATTAACATTATCGTGTAAATC